GGGGAAAATCCTACTCACAATAAATATTTAATTGTCAGAATTATACCAGCTTTTGACTCAGAAAGTTACCTATATTCAGAACAGAATGGATTGCATCTACAAATAAAGTTGCTCATTTTAGACATATTCTCTTGAGTATATATAACCTTTTCTTCTTTTTTAAATTACTTTGCTGGGAAACAGTAACTGAATGGAAGGATATTTAGTGTAAAGAACTACAGACATGACCTTGGAGAAAATGAGAGACGGTTACCAAAACAAAAGCATACATTAAGTCCAGGAAACAGAAAGTGTGAAAAAGAAGTTCAGACAGGCTGAATTGTAATTCATTTTGGTGTGAGAGGGAGAGAAGGGCAAACACACACCAGCTTTCAAGATTTTAATTATTATAACTATATCAATAAAACCAAAGTTTTCTGACCTGACCTGCCTCGAAGGTTGACAGCTGGTTACCTGATACATTCCAGAACGTTTTCTTCAAACACCTTCCAAACTATTTTTAAAACTCTTTCGAGTTTTGAGATTAGATAGAAACACTAGTTGAAAATATGAGGGCAGCTACACATTCATCCAAAGAATCACCATCTGCAGCCATCATATAGTAGAAAAAAAATTAGGCTGAGAAACCTTTAGAGATTACCATATTACTGTCTACAACCCATGACCCCCACTTTTCTATTTTTAAGCCAAGATGAAGTTTCAGTACATCACCTGGGTTAATGGATGGAGGTGGTGGTGGTGGAAGAGGACGGCCTTCTTTCATGGCTTGAGTTGCAAGTTTAGCTGCTCTGATGGCCGAAATAAAATCTTCATGCTGCTGCCTCCAATTTGATTTTTTCTCCCGTCCATTCTGGAAAGCAATTAGGTTTCCCTTCCATCAATCAGAGCATATATTAATCACAGGTGTTGTTTTGAAAAGCAATTTTAAGAGAGTTTTGAACAGAGTATGAATAATAAAAAATATTCCATTATAAAAGGCAGCTTGAGTAGTGGTTAAGCCATCTAGATGGTAATGGGGATACTGTGAGTGTTAGTCCTGCCTTAGGCACAAAACCAGCTGAGTGACCCTGGGGCAATCACACCCTCTCAGCCCTAGGGAGCAGGCAATGGCAAACCACTTCTGAAAATGTTGCCAAGAAAACTGCAGGGATTAGTCCAAGCAGTCTCCAGGAGTCAATAGTGGCGTGAAGGTACAAAATATGTATATTATTGTTATTAGGTGTTTTGGACAAAGAGAATTTTCCAGGTTTGCTTTGTTGTAGGAGAGCCAATACTGTAGTCATTGAAGGGGAATGATGGTTTGGAAAAGGAGATTGCTTGGGAGGTCTGACAGAGTAGAACAAATGGAAGGAACATCACACCTTTACTATAGGAACATAAATCAGCATACCTAACACTCCCTCCATTTTTTCCCTTTCCACCACAAGCCTGAGCGATATACTGGGCTGAGGTGGAATGACTAAGCCTAAGCCATTTATTTTCCATGATTGAGTACATGGATAAGGTGAGAAGCTAAATTCATTAGTCCAGGTAGAAGAACATGATTGAATCCTTATAGCAGCTACATGAATGAGGCAAAAATGGTGGGCCCTTAAAGTTTACATTTCTAGGCCAGGAAATACAAATTTCACTCTTTGATAATAAGGGATGAGGCCCAAAAGCTATTCCTGTTAACAGCATTTATTTCAGATGAATGTTGGCAGGGCAGCAGAAGACAAAACATGTTTGTCCCATTTTATATTCGATAATGAAAGGTTAGAATTCCAGGCATTAGCTCAGAGATCTCCAACCTTTCCAGGCTCACGGCCCGGAGGGAAGGAGAACAGCTTTCAAATTGGTGTGTGCACATGCAAACGGCGCCACATGCCCTGGCTCAGCGCTAGTGGCGCATGCACAAATGGGCTGTGCACACCTGCCCAAAGCTAGTGGCCCCATTCGCGCTCGCATGCATGCACAAACAGGGCCGTGGGTGCTAGCGTGAGGGGGGGGAGTGCACACTCATGCATGCGCTCATCAGCCAGCTATTTCCGTGGCCTGCTGGCCAAGAGGCCATGGCCTGGTAGTAGGCCGCGGCCCATAGGTTGGGGACCCCTGCATTAGCTAAATGTTGGTGATCAAATAATAAATTTGGGGGGACCTTCCAAACCTCTGTATTAGGACAACCCAAGTCTACATAAAGAATCCAGACATCCCCTTCTCCAGCTCTCTTGTTGCAAGCGATCTCAATGGCAAGACTTTGATACTCCTTAAAACATATTAATGAAAACCTGGGAATGGTATTGAAAGGTCTACCTTTGTGGGTGGCTGCTTTTTCACTGTTGGGATGTCAGTTCCCTGTAGTCGTTGTTTCAAGGAATTGAATGGCTTGCGCTTCTTGTTGAAAATTTTTTTGCATATCAGATTGTGCCTTGCCTAAAGGAAAGGAAAATTCATATGGTCACGTTCCTGAACTAGTGCAGTCATATATTATTTTTGATTGTACTTCAAACTCTTTTCCCCCCTCCCCCCCTGTAAAATTATGATCATTTCAACCTTAGTGTATTATGTATCTGGACATTTAATTGGGAATAATATGCTTGTGTGTCACACATAATTACACTTTACTTCTACGTGTCCCAATTCATAGCATGTGATCACGGTTTTTGGCAGGCTAATTGGCCAATCTGTTTTGTGTGCAGTTTAACAGTTAGTAAGGATTGCGTATCACAGAGGAAAAACTGAGCCAGTGGCTATTTTTAATCTGTATGTACTAGATTTATATCCCACTTTGTTTATCACTTAATTATAGGTGCCATGTGTGGTTAGTGACTCCAAACATTCTGTTTAATTTTCTCTGAATTGGATACAGGAAGATCAAGGACTACCTGTAACTACATATTAGAGAAGGGAAAACCCAAACCCTTAATATTTAAGTTGAGGAGGGAGTCTAAGTCATAGGTTATAAATATTTATAACCTATGACTTAGACTCCCCCCTCAATTTAAATATTAAGGGTTTGGGTTTTCCCTTCCCTAATATGTAGTTACAGGTAGTCCTTGACGTATGCCCACAATTGAGATCAGAATGTATGTGGCTAAGCAAGGTTGCCATTTAAGTGAGTTGTGCTGGATTTTATCAACCCTTTTTTGCCATAACTGTTAAATGAATCACTACAGCTGTTAAGTGAATTATAGGATTTTGAATCCTGATTCTGAATCCATAAACATGAATTGCCAGAGTTGGGATATATCACCATTCTCACATTTAGTATAGAAGTATACACTTTTATGAACAAATCTGTGCTTTACAAAGGCTTTTGTTAAATGCTTGCATAAATCAGTACAACAATTGTCATCAATCTTCCTGCTAAACATCTTCCTGTTTTTATTTCACTTGTTTCTGAGTAGATGTTCACTGAGTGAATTTGATTAAAACAGGTACTGGTTCTTTTTCTTTTATCACTTAAATAAATTCAGTACAAAATGCTCTGATTTTACCAGTGCTTCCGGTGCAAAATGCCTTCCACAGGTGTCACAAGGAAGCAAATTTGGTGCGCCAACCTCTGTGTGGAACAGGAACAATGATTATTTATCTCTAAAGTATAAGCATTTTCAAACATCTCTGTAAATATAGTCTTAAACATCCTTCCTCCAGCTAAAGAAAACAGATTAATATGTAGTATCCAGAACTTATTTTATCTGCTGAGAAGGAGTAACTGAATAATATACCCTAGCTGAATTAGAAGAAAGTTCCAGTGTTCAATAAAACTTAATTCTAAATTAGTGCACACAGGATTGCTCATTTGGGCTGAATACAATGACTTAATGCTATTATGAATTGCATTGCAAGAACAGTCCATTTTATATTTCTTATGTCTATAGCTTTAAAAGTCAAAAATGTCTTGAACCTTCTGCCTCCATTGAATTTCTTAGTGTTACTTTGAGGCAGAGGATGCAGAGTTTTAATGAAAATCCTCAGCAGTTTAAGATAAAAACTGACAAAATTGATGGCATTATCTTGTGTGGGCTATTTCAGGAATTTTCTTCCAATGTACAGATTTCTTTGAACACAGATACCTTAAAAATAAAATTTTGCAGCAAGCCATTTACATAGTTATTTTTATTGCTTTTAGGACTCTCAAGAAATCTAACAAATGTTGCTTGAGATAGCTTGTTAGGAATGACTTTACATGCCAAGTAGAGTAAATAATTCTTTAAAATTACACTAAATAAATATTCTGAAACACTCATTTAAATTATTTTTACCCCAAATTTTAATTCAAGGTACAATAATTTACAAAAATAATTAGTTTGTGGGGCTTTTAGAAAACTGCTTAGGAATCCATCCATCAGAGTATGACAGAGCATACTAAAACATTAAAAAGTTTATTCGGCTTTTGGCTTAGACACTGTGGCTTATTCAAAAATTATCAGTTGACTTAGTCTAATTTGCAAACCTGGCTATTGTCAGTGCATTTATATTAGAGAATCATAGCTACACAATCCTTGCGAGAGGGTTTTGTATGAGTATATATATATATATATCTAATATCTATCATCTTATTTACCATCCATCCATCATCTATCTATCTATCTATCTATCTATCTATCTATCTATCTATCTATCTATCTATCTATCTATCTATCTATCTATCTATCATCTTTTTTTCCCCTTAAGTATGGTTAAGTATGGTTAATCATCATGGTCCTGATCAAATACAGGAGTAAATTAAATACTCTTAATTATGCAGTTATATTTTGATTTTTTACATTCTTTACATTATGAATTTAAATTATTTGAGGGGTCCTGGTGCTCTCTCAGCTTGGGTTGTTTGCTTGCAGACATTTCATTACTCAAACTAGTATTATCAGTACTAGTGGAGATTGGGATTTGTTCTCAATTCTGCAGGTAAACAACCAAGCTCAGAGAGCATCAAGGACCCTTCATTTCAACCTTGAGCTACAAACATTCTCCTTTATCCTTATCCTCTTGCTTTGGTGCCCAAAAGCAAGAGTGTTACAAAAAGTTAGGCTTCACCCTCTCCTAAGGAACCACCCAGGAAAATAAAAAAGACATGTCAACAATGGCTACCTAACTGACAGAATGATTGTTCAATGTAGTTACATGTGATTTATTATGAGATAGTAATTGAACAAAGGCTACAGATACATTTAAACACATCATGCAAAGATACCAATTTGAAATACTTTTAAATAAAAACACTGACAAATTGTTTCACTAGCTATGTTGTTGGGTACTTCATACCTGTGGCATATGCTTTGTTTTCAGAATCCACACTCATTTCATAGCGCAGTGATTTCGGGTTCTCTTTAATATTTTTTCAGATGTACCTGATAGCTTACTTTCCATTGTCTAGTTCCCTTGCTTACAAGATTCCAAGTGAAATGCCATTGGCTGACCAATTAAACAATTATGACACAGTTCATCGTGTAATGATGCACAGTATTATGTATTTTTGCTGACTTACTTATAAAGTAATAAATGTAGGATAGAAATTTAATAAATAAATGAATATCTAACCTTTAGCCAGTTTCAAAGCTCTTTTTAAAAACAGCTTTTTAAAGAGCAGTGCCAAAGTAGATCCCATTAATATGAAATTTTACAGATTACTGTAAAATCTTAAACTTAACCTCTGCCATCAAAGCACAGTAATTTTCCTTGAATCTCTCCTGTATACAGCAACCAAGAAATATAAAAATAAATTTATCATCATCACCATCATCTTCCTAGCGTTATTCCCACAGGTGCAGGGTCTGCTTTTTGGATTGACAAATGCCATTTTGCATGATCAAACGTAGCATCTGGGTCCAACTGGGCAATTTTCATATCTGCATTTCTTGTGTCTTGCCATCTTTGCTTCGGCCTTCCACCGGGTGCTTGCCATCTGCGTTAAAGTGGAAGGTGATTCAGGCAAAAGGTGTGGGACCTGCTCGTAGGATATGGCCATACCATTGTAGGTGTTTCTCCTGCATTTTCTCAAGTATTGGCGCAGTGCCCATTTGCTGTTGTACTGTCAGGGCTTTTCAACCTTTTCACCCATTGTGCCACTTTTAGGATACGGCAATATCCGAGTACCACCAGTAGCCTAGCAAGGTGTCAAAAACTTGATGACCCCCCCAAAAAGGAAAAAAGTGATGAAGTACAGGTAGTCCTCGACTTACAACAGTTTGCTTAGTGACTGTTCAAAGTTACAATGGCACTGAAAAAGTGCCCCCCAAGGCACAGCCAAGCAAGACACCTGCCTGCCCACCCGGCGGCGTTCTTCCTCCTGTTCGAGGTTTTCATTGTTTGAACATTTCTGTTGGGGATTGGCAGCGGAGGTGGGGTGGGGTGTATGTGGTTTTTATTCCCCCTGTCTGCTGGGTGGTTGTAGCAGATTTTGGTCACTTCACATGACCCTGGGACACTGTGACCGTCATAAATATGAATCAGTTGCCACGCATCTGAATGTAAATCACAAGACCCTGGAGATAAGGCAACATTCCAGCTGATTGGTGCTTCTTCAGGGCTCAGAAGAAGCACCAGGATCAGTGCCGAGCTACAGCTGGAGCCTGGCACTGATCCTGGCACTTCCGCTGAGCCGACAGCCCTGCAGCTCCAGCCATCTCTCGCTCAGGCTTGTGCGGTGCTGCCACCGGTTCAGCTCATTCCTCTCCCCCGCTACCACTTTTCTAGAATGGTCGCGTACCACCTGCCAGGTGCCAATGTACCACAGGTGGTGCCCGTACCACTGGTTGAAAAGCCCTGTATTATGTCATTGCTGACATGGTCAAGAAGAGAAACACCTAATGACCAACAAAGCATATACATCTCCATGGCGTGTAAAGAGCGCTCAGTGCATTTGGGGATTGGCCAGCATTTAGTGCCATATAAAGCTACTGGATGTACCATTCTTTTGAAAGATAAAAACGAATTACTTTTATTATAATGAAAGGTAATAAATGAATTTGAAAAAAATTATTATAGAAGAAATATATTACACTGATTTTATTGTTGTGGTAACCAAAAAACTGTTTACATGTAAGTAAACACCGGTGGTTAGATTTTTATAAACAGCACATTGCCATTATTTTTACACTTCTGATATGATAAATGGAAAGTATCTTTTCCACTTAGCAACCAGACAGAAGTGGCCATCGTCCTTAACAAGAAGCAGTTCTTCCATCACGACAGCCTGAGTCCTTGAAGATTCTGTTTCACATTCAGCAGCTCCTTCTCTTGCCTTGTCTTCTCCTGCTTGAAGGCTGACTTGTTTGCTTTCTTTTCTATCCTGCGTTCCTAATGGGGAAATAATTTACAATATGAATATATATCACTCCATGGAAATGTTCTCAAAGCAATCAGCATTGCAGATACAATTTTAGCAATATCTGTCTCAGAACTCTTGGCAGGTGAGGCTTCATGCACTGAAAAGATGTCTAATTTTTTCAGATGTTTATAATACCCTTCATACTTTTTAAAGCAAGGCACATATCTTCAGTTTTTATTTTCACTATGTATGTGTTTGCATTTACAGTAAACCAGGAGTTTTCCTCCCACTCAGCATAGTGTGTGCAATTTAGAGATGATCTAATCAAATGAACATAACAAATCATTCCATTCATATCTTGCCTAAGAGGGCAATCCACAAGTCTTAGCATCTCATGTCTCCCTGCTGCTTCCTAAAGAAATATTTTCCACAAGAGACTAAGAGAAAAACAAAACAAAACACTGCAAGGGACTAAGGGGGGTGAACTCCCCACAATGGAGGTCTATGGAGATTCTCAGTCATCCAGGTCATGGTTGTCCCAAACGCTGCTCAGTTTGTGCATATGCCACATTGCTCAAACTGAGCAATGTGGTATATGCAGTACAATGCAGTGAGCCATATGCAGATCTGTACATTAGGGAAAACAAAACAACCAGTTCATAAATGCATGGCACAATATAAGAGAACAAACCCATCAGGACAAGATTCAGCAGTCCATCTGCATTTAAAAAACAAAGGCCACTCTTTCAAAGACACCGAAGTCCACATTTTGGACAGAGAGGACTGCTGGTTTGAAAGAGGGGTCAAAGAGGCCATCTATGTCAAAATTGAACAGCCCTCTCTCAACAGAGGGGGAGGGATATGACATCATCTATCTCCAGTCTACAATACAGTCCTTTCAACAGTTCCAAGAAGGCTCCACACCCATTTGCACTACTCAGATGACCTGACAACACAGATAAGCCTCCAGGGGCTTCAATGATTCACGCTAAAAGAATGCAAATGACCAGCTATCCGCAAGGAGTATAAATCATGCCATTCCCCACCCTCCAATCAGAGCTGAAGAAGCTTCTTGGCTGAGAAGCGAAATGTCTTCAAGAAAAACAAGAAAGTCCAGTTGCCTCGTGAAAGAAGCACCTTTGGGACCTCCACAATGGATTATTGGGGAGACAGGAGGTAGAAGGCAAGGTTTAATCCGTTGCACGCTTTCCTTAAGTCTGTTGAGGAGAGGGGTCCCCCTTTTATAGTTACTAAGTTATGATGGAAGGGGTGGGACTTGCTAATTGACATTCAGAAGTCCCACCTCCTTTGATCTGGGATTTTTTTTTTAAATCAACAAGTTTTTCCACAGCCACAAAATAGTTTGGCTGAGTTCTCAATTATTACTACTGAACCATAATTCGTAAGATAATTCGTATTTTACTCAACTAGTATTATATACACCTCCATTATAAAAACTGAGGATAATTTATGAAAAAAGAACAAAGAAAAACAAGGGCAAAAGGCAACTGTCATTCCTTCCATAAACCCCTCCCTAAACTACAAAAGCAGCCCATGGCCATCATCTGAGCTAATCTAAGTCAGATGGAACAGAATTATTTCTACTGCCTTAAGTAGGGCAAACTGAAATCCTAAATGGAGATATTCTATAAGGTGAGAGTTGCCATTGAGAAAGCATGCCTGCAGGTCCCATACCTTCCACTTCACAAGAGCCATCCCTCTGAAAAAAAAAACCATACAAGATAGCCTAAATCTGACAGGGAAAGATGGTCCTGTAAGTACATAAGTGGCAAGCCATGTAGGGTTTTTACATATTAAAACCAGCCCCTTGAATTGGATTTGGAAGTTTATCAGTAATAAAATCTCTATTCTTTCTTAATAACTGTATCACTACATTTTCAGAACTTTTTCAGAACTTTTTGAAATCAAGAAAGCAAAGGCTCGGAATGAACAAAGTCTTCCAACAAGAGTCAAAGATAATAAAAACAATTTTCTTTCAACTTATAAATAACAAGAAAAAAGTCAAGGAAACACTTGGTCCGCTAAAGAGAGAAGATGGCAAGGAAGTAACAGGCAGTAGAGAGAAAGCAGAGCTGCTTAACTTATTCTTGGCATAAGTCTTCAAACAAAAAGAAACTATAGCCCAGCCTACAAAAGACATAACTGTAAAAGACAGATTAGAAATAAAAATTAAAATAAGCAAGAAAATGGTAAGAGGACACCTGTCTGATTTTGATGAATATAAATCAGCAGGGAATTGGACTAGAAGACCTCCAAAGTCCCTTCCAGTTCTATTCTGATTGATTGATTTCCAAGCCTTTTCCAAAACCAGTTTCATATAAAATGCACTGCAGTAGTTTAAATGCACCAGCCACTGTCAAATGAAGACCAGCAGTTGATGCTTCAAGTGGAGTTGGACAAAGCCCTCTGGTCCCAGCCTTCATTTGTGATTTGAGCAGATGCTGCATATCCCCAAATCATGGAGCTGTTGCTTCAATGAGAGAGCAACCCCGTCTATAGGTAACCTCAGAGCCAGATCAAAGCCACCTACTTTTTCCTACCCCCTTAGAAAGTAACAGAGCCATCACAGAAAGGCTAACAAATGCTATCATTCTTGCAGTTGTTCTCCTTGGTGGGACAAGGGAAGGACCTAGGCCTCGCGGATTATGGGAGGCTTATGCCCTGTCCCTGCCCCACACAACCCAGGAGCCTGTTCCTTTTTCTCAGTGTTCCAGTTAATGACCCTCACATTCACTTAATGACTGCTTTGCTGGACGACCAAAATTCAGGACTCAATTGTGGTTGTAAGTGGAGAACTACCTGTAACTTAAAATGTTTTTTTTTAAATCCCCCTTTCTCTCTACCATGTAAGAGAGAAAAAATGACTTATTGACATTACCCTTTAATTTTACCTCAGGCCTATCATAGCACAACTTCTAATTAGGCTCATGTCACTTCTTCATTCATTGGGATGGTTTTATAGTTATCATGTTCTACATGTGTACGAAGCCACAATCTCGCTAAATTCTACTAATTCTACTCAGTGCCTAAATGGCAATCCTAAATAAACTATTTTGAGTTCCATCCTGTGGGAATAATATACACACTACACAACATTCCAGTTATTTAATATACATTTCTGAGTTATGACCTAACAGTAGTTATTCCCTTTGCTTCAGTCAATTAAAGGTTAATAAAGTTAATTAATGAAATATATTTATTTTAAACAATTTAAATAAAACTTACTTTTCGCTCTTCTTTGATAGCGTGTTTCCTAGCTTTCCGATCCTCCTTACTCTCATCCTTAGAGCGTGGCTGAGTGGATACTCTTGGCAAATCAGAGTCATTAATCCTTTGCATGCGCTCAGTCTGTTTAACTGTAGATCCTCTCTGAGGCAAAACATCTAGAGGGATTCCTGTCTTCTTAGACACTCTAATTGATTTAAGCTATAAAAAATACATGGAACTAATGAATTTTTTAAAACAACGAGTTAACTGGGTCAATGAAGCCTGCAGAAGCCAAAATACTAAGCCAGGTAATAAACTGAACAAAATGTTTAGATGTCATTGGGGGAAAAAATTGGTCCCTATGTTAATTCATGTTTGATATGTTAATTCCTTATACATGCAGTATACATTCATTCACTCATTCATTCCTGTTCAGCACTCTGATAAATTACAAGCTGGATCCAAGTTGAATCCAAACTTAATCCTCCCTCCCTCCCTCCCTCCCTCCCTCTCTCTAAATCTTAACTTATATTTTGGAGGTGAGAAGTACTAGGAAAGGGCTAACTTTCAAAGAGACAACCACAAACTCTACAGTATGTTCTCGTCCTCTCTCTCTCTCTCTCTCTCTCTCTCTCTCTCTCTCTCTCTCTCTCTCTCTCTCACACACACACACACACACACACACTCACACACACACACACGGCTGCTCAACTCACACAAAGTAACTTTGGATGATGTACAACAATTGAATAAAATACAAATGGATAAAAACATAAATGGATAAAAAGAAATAATTAAAATAAGAATACTATCAAAACATTTTAAACGACACAAATCCCATGTAGAGAGCAAGAATATCAACCACAATGGAACCAACTAAAATTGTCTACAGTTCTCAAAAACCCCAAGGCCAGATGACATAACTAGGTCTTGAAGGACTTCCTAAACCAGTGTTTCTCAACCTTGACAATTTTAAGGCATGTGGACTTCAACTCCCAGAATTCCACAGCCAGCAATGCTGGCTGTGGAATTCTGGGAGTTGAAGTCCACATGCCTTAAAATTGTCAAGGTTGAGAAACACTGTCCTAAACAATAGCATGGAAGGAATGAGCCTAACCTCCGGGGGGGGGGGGGAGAATGTGCTACAAGGAGAATGTCATGGCAGAGAAGGCCTGCCTCCTGGGGCCCATGTAATGCAAATCCCTGGCTGATAGAAACCATGTCTACCCTGTTAGATCGAACAGGAAGTCAATTGGTGAGGGATTTTTTTTTTGCAAGTTTCTGACATTTATTTCCAGTTTCCAGCAAAATTTACGGCCATAATTTTGGGCTCAGTTATGGTGATAAGTTAAGGGCTACCTCTATTTGAAATTAAAAATCCCCTTAATCAGATTTTTGAATATACCTCTAATAGTTCTTTGGATCCCATTCACTGCAATAATAAGTCCTTAAAGTATAATGGAAACGTCCACTCACCTTTTTTGGCACCTCAATAAGTTTTGGATGATTGTATAAGTTTGAATAAGTACCTTAAAGAGAAGACATAATATCAAAGGTTAGCTTATGAAGAATCTAATTTTCTCCTGAACTTTTGATTTGAAATGTCTGAAACGCTTTATTAATAAACAATGTTTAAAACTCAAATTATCATGAAGGTCTTTGAAGCTAATGAATGCGTATGATAATTAAGTATATTAAAAAAGCAAAAGCTGCTTAAAGGAAATAAGTAAACTTGATTCTTAGCAAAAACAGCATTATTCCTATAAAAATATTCATAATTCTGCATGAAGGGTCCTTGGTACTCTCTGAGCGTGGTTATTTTCTTGTAAATGTTTTATTACCAAACTAGGTAACTCTGCATATTGCTGTTGCTATTAAATGCCAGATTAACAAAACCTTCTTTTATGGCTGACCTGGTGTAGATTGTTGAGATGTGACTGCGTCTGGAAATTTCTCTTGCAAATGTGCCTATTTGAGTTCTGGGTGAAGCATTTAGGGCGAGGGGTGGCAATTGTTATATGGGTGTCTCTGATGGCTTTCAAAGGCAGAGCTCCACAAGTTACTGGATGTGAGATTCTGTTCATTAATTTGGGGTCTAAAGATCAGTTGAGATCCCTGCACCCTGCTGCATAGCAACATCCCTACCTGAGCTCCTTGACTCCATCTCAAGGTTTGGCACTGGAAATCCCTAGGCCTGGGGAACTTCAACCCGCATTCCTTGGGAATGGGCTCTAGGGTCCCTCAGGTGTTTATGGCCACCATGACAACTGTGGGCCTATCCCAGGTCATCTAGGACCTATTGTTGTTTTTCTGTTGTTGTGGCAGCAGTGGTACAGTGATCTGGAATTGGAATATCTCTCTGTGACTCTTCTGTCATGGTAACCATGAGATTCTCTGGTGCTGCCCTCCACCACAGGAAGGCTGGACCTGTTTGTTTGGTTTATCTATGGCAACTGAGGGAGCTGGGGGTTGTTCTTAATGGTCTGCAGCACACTCTGGTTCTGGCTGTCACTTGGAATAAGAGGCAAGGCTTTGGACTAGAATCAGAGGTCCCCGATCTTTTGGGCACCAGGGACCGGTTCCATGGAGAAAGTTTTTTCCATGGACTGGCGAGTGCATGGTTTTGTGTGCTGCCTGCATCCCACGGATGGCGCTTTGCTTGTTTGTGTGGACTGGTTGCTGGCATGCCGTGGCCCGGTACCGGTTCACGGACCGGGGGTTGGGGACCCCTGGATTAGATCATGCCCATGCAACCTCTCCTGGCTCATGATCCTGTCACTTTACATGTTTCAAGGATATGTTGAGGGAGATGAAACAGATTAAAACAGGTTAAGAGACATCTGGAATGTTTCTGGAGATCACTGAGGAGTGAACTTGACCAAACATGGGTGAATTTTTTTAATGGTTTTTATACAGTATATTCTTTATTACTATGTATGCCATCCAGAGTCACTATATGGGCAGCTAATACAAATATGAGTAAATAAATAAATACTCACTCAAAATGGATTCACAATCCCATTTTTCTTTTGGTTCTTCAATTATTAAAGTTACCATTTCTTCAATCTCATCTTCTTCCTCATTCAAGGGTAACTCTGCTTTCTTCTTGGTTTCAATATCATCAACTTTCACACAACTTTTAAAGAAAAAGAAAGATGCATGAGGCAAATAAATTAAATTTAAATGTTTTAAAATACTGTCATTTTCAAAAACCTGCCAACTTTTTTTTTTTAACTTAAATCAGTATTATTTAGACTAGCTATTTACCTGAGAGTTATGGTCATTAAGGAGATCATCATGGGACTGACCCAATTTTACATTTTTTTTTTAGTGGTGAGTTATTAAGCGAACATTGCGGTTATGAAGTGAATTTTTGCCAGAAACCTGAAATAAATGCCGGGTTTGGGCAAAAACACCATAAATTGCATCCATGTGACCATAAGACACTGCAAATGACTGTAAATGCTGAGCTCCTAAAATGCATCCAGTTTGGAACTGGGTCATAAGTACCTTTTGGAGAGGGTGTTGTAATTTAGACTGGTTGCTAAACAACTGGTTCATAGACCTGTTAACATTGCAATCAGTAATCAATCCAGATATAACCAAAGTCTTAACTGGGTTCTTTCCTGAAATGTGCCACTGCCATATGATTTATTAAAGAAATATATTCATTTTACCACCAGATGTTTTGCTGAACTCACTAGGGATGCATATAAAAAGATACCAGTAATTAAAAAAGATTCCATCCTCTTAGCATTAACAGAAAAGATGAAGCTCTTGCCAGCTACAACAGTCATTGCTCAACCTCTATAGAGGGAAGAAAGGATTGGCAGAGGCCTACACTGCTGTTCGGGCATGAGGCAATACTTTCTAAAGTTAAGACTTTTTAAGGGCTGAGATATGACAGTTAATTATGCTTTAAACCACTGGTTTAACATTAGTAGTATCAGTGTTTCCTCTATAAGCTGCTCATTGTTGAACAGGTATGCAGAAATTTTCCGAGAAGCATACTACCCAGTAAGGACCCTTTACATACTCCTTTGCTTTCTCTCTGAAGTAGTCATTCAACACTTCCTGTAATCGAGTGCTGTCACTTTGGATGAAACCTTCTAATTCGGCATTATCCAATGGTCCAATTTCATCATCATCAAATTGTTCGAAAAACTAAGTGTGAAACAAATTATTGTTATTTAAATCAATTCCATATGCTTTCAGTAACAAACTTAAATTGCAATCCTCCAATGTATTTAAAAACAAATTTAAAATGTATTCGAGGATAATTAATTTACGTCCCCTCCCCTTTATATAACGACCAACATTTTCCACTGATGAAAAAAGCTCATAAACGAAAGTTACTGTTAGCCCAGCGATTGAGCTTTCTGTCTGTCTAATTTATATAGCCACCCAGCTCACAAACAAGTGATTCTGGGTGGTACGCAACAAAACTAAAAAATAAAAAAAAAATAGTATCTAAAATCATTATCACTGGCAAATACTAAAGTGTTAAAAACTTTAATTTGTTTTAGATAAGAAATAAGGTCCAAGTCAAGATATGTCATAGAATTAGATACAGTGTTATACAACTCCTTAAAATTCTTAAGGAAAAACACATTAACAGAGCAGTAGTTTTACAAACCAGGGATGTTAAGAGATCAGGATTAAAATTAAGTAATGTTTTCCAAATATATGCCCATAATTACAATAAATGTTGTAAGTTTATTTCACCTTCTCAAACCTTTCATCCAGAAGTGTCAGTTGTTCATTTCTTCTCATGACTGAAGAGGTCACGGAATACTCTGTGAAACGGCTCTTGGTCTCTTCTTCCATGAAAAGGAATTCTTTCATTTTCCCTTTAAAATCACTGTCATCTGACAAAGGACCTTCAGAATCATATTCTTCGCCACTTTGAGAATCTTCTCCATCCTCTTCCTCCACATCTTCCCATGCATCTTCATCTTCAGATAAGCTGGTAATAACATACACATTGACTTCCTTAAATTTACACTTCACTTTACTCATAGGCTAATAGTTCATGATTTTTCATGTACTGTATTTTCCCGAAAGTAAGACCTACCCCAAAAATAAGCCCTAGCTTGATTTTTTTTGGTGTGGGCCTAATATAAGCCCTCCCCCCAAAATAAGCTCTAGTTTTGGGCGAGATGCACACCTAAAAATCAAGCTAGTGTGGGGGTGGGAGGGTGGAGCTGCCCCATGCGCCCCATATCCACTTGCCTTGCAGCCAGGCTTCTCTTCGCCAGCCCATTTCTGCGGCGTCCCCAGGCCTGCATTTCACAATCAGAGGCCTTTATGGAAAGCCTCTGCAGCCGAGAACTGAGCTATGGATTGAATATATTGCTTGGTTATCGGCTACAGAGGCCTTCTAGAAAGGGCTGACTGCAAAATACAGGCCTGAGCTCCATTCTCAGTTGCAGAATGAAGCTGCTCCTTCGGCTGCAGAAGAAGTGGCGGCTGGGCCGGGCTGCCGAAGGTGAGTGGAAAAGAAACCCCCCCCCCCAATACGACCTGGTGCCTCTTTCAGAGGCAAAAAAATAAAATAAAAATAAGACTGGGTCTTATTTTCAGGGAAACACAGTACTACTGCACAGTATAACTAAGAATGAAATAGTAATCAATCAAGACCTGAAAAAGGTATAAAGAGTGGAATAATTTTGATGCACCCAGTATTGGGATTCCCTTTCCAGTAGAAAAATGAATAAGATAATAAAAACATAGTCATATGTTTTTTATTCCATTACCAAGAGAGTTCCTTCTCCAGTTCTAGGCTTCCAGGTTTATTAGCTCTTAAAATGAAGTCATCTTCAAGCAGATTATCTGGACTGTCAAAATCAAAGTCATCATCTAGTGCTGCAATAATGTCAGGATCAAGATCCGGTCTAGGCCCTAGTGTTAGATAAAACATTACGTTAAAAAGCAGTTTTGACAGGATTAAGTCATTTCTCAGAATTATCAGTTTCCCTGAACACAAGTTATTTAACAAACAGAAAAAATAATTCATACAACAGCAATTAGTTAGAAAACTACCTTCTCCTATTACCCCCAGATCAAACCTGAGAATTTTTCAAAAGTTTTTAAGGTTAAATTGAATGGAATAGTGATCAGTATTGTCTTCTTGCCTTGATGAAAATAACGTGTTACCTCAAGGCAAACAACAGCTATCTTATGCACCCTTGTAATTTATCTCTTTTTACAGATTAGGACAGTAACAGAATTCCTCAATCACATATACGTTAATAATGTGAAGAACAGATTAAAACAGTCTTAAAGAAAAAGTTTCATTTTTCACATCAAATATAAGTGCACATAAAAGAATGTAGTGTAAATGAAGTACCTGGAACAGGGGCAGCTTTATTTAATAGTCCCACGTCTTCTTCAAATTCTGATGCAAATACTGAGGAGGGCAGATTAATGGTAGGAGCCTAAAGAACAAAGAATACGTAGCATTTTCTTTTAAAATGTTCAGGAGACTAAGTATCCTCAACTGAGTTTCTAGCATATACTTTTCATATGATACAGTGACAAATCAGTTCATGTCCCATAATAAAATTTTTTGGAATGCTGTCAATAATTTTATTAGCACTACTAATGAATAAAAAATAAGGTAGTTTTAGATCTATCACAAAATAATTCAATGGGTGATTGAAAAAAGTACGTGAAAATCAAAAACATTGTTTAAAAAATTAAGCTTTAAATTTAAGAAATACAACTAGTTTGATTTGAACATACATATGGTAATTATAGGAAATACCACCACAGCACTTAAGAACATTTTTACTTACCGGAATGTGTTGAATTTCATCTTCTACCTCCCCTTCTGTAGACACTACAATCCTGCCTTGATTTGGGAAGCTTGATGGAACAAGTTCAGAAGGTCCTGAAGCTTCCTTCAAATGTTGCAAGTAATCGTAATCATCATCAAAGAATACTCCATATTTCCGCTGTTCTTCTCTTCTTTTTTCATCATTTCTCTAAAGGCATTGAAGAAGGAAATTACTGAATTTAGCTAATGTTGCTGTCAAACAAAGAAAAAAAGCATAATGATTCCAATTACTTTCTACACATCTTTGCAGCAATGTTGATGCTCAGAGAATTCAGAATTTCTCTATTAGGAACAACATATGGAGAGCCTTGACATTATTTCTGCAACATCATTTTCCCACAATGGTCAACTCAAGTGCCTCCTGAAAGCCCATCCACAGGCAGAATAGCCCTTCTCCGTCCTTTCACCTAAAGGAAGCATTAAGCTGCTTTTCTTCAGCTTTGTCATTTCTTATTACCTTTAATGCAGGCAAGAGAACTCTCTGGGGTGCACTATCATCCGCTGTCAAAGGATCCTTCTGACTTCTATGCACTACATGAAATGTTACAGCTTTTTTCTTTTCTATGAACGGTTTCTTCCGTCTGTGGGGCTACAAAACAAGAGACAATGATCTGAAAATGGAACAAAACTGATAAGGGTTTCACTACTTATCTAAGTAAATGGGTTATTTATATCCTCCCTAGGAATATAATTGTAAAAACATTTTTTTTACTGCTACCTAGAGTCACAATACTCTGATTGGGGCAACCATATAGACCAAACAAACAAACAAACAAATCTGTTACATCTTTACTTAGTTAACTGATGCATACTAAATATTTAGAATTCTTTTAGCTTTTTAAAATGTGTTAAATGTAAACCAGAATAGATTGATTTGAGCTTTTTTGGGATGGTTTGTTTGCTTCCAGGGTTGTCCAGAACACAGAGTAGTTTACAGCACTCTAGACAGCTTCTGGCACAGATATGTTTGGATCATCCCATTACAGTGAATTTCCACATTGAATGTTTTCCCCATTGATAGGTTTTATGGTTATCTCTTTCAGGAGATGATTCTCAAGTTACTTGACTTTATATACTGCATTCTACTGAAATATCTCTTTAGTGTATAATAAAAAGCATAAAACCAAATCAAAGCCACAAATAGCAAAAATGACAATAATAAAAATAAAAGGCCTTTTAACTAAAAGATTTGTTTTAAAGCCTTCCTAAAGTGCAGACAATGAAATTAGATTCTGCAGCTCCAGTAAACTTGGCAGATACAGAGAAGACTGAACTTCAGGTTGCCAAGAGCTAAGGTTTCATCTCAGTATATTGGGGTGGGGAAACAATTGAAATTATAAAGGAAATCTTTGCTCAGTTATTCCTAACACAAACCATTTAGATTTTAAAAGTAATAAGTAATTTATATCTCATCAGGAAATAAATCAGCAGCCAATACAATGCCTTCAGCATAAGAATCTGACTCCACCCTAACGGCATCTAGGAAAGGAAGGTGAACAAATGCTTTTAAGTGTCACAGTGGCTCCAATCTTCATGAAAGAAGACAGGAGAGGGATAGTCATGATTACTTTTTCCTGGTCAAGTCCCATATCATGTGCAATTTGCAGCTACCTTTACCAGATAGGTACCTCACACAGATATCCAAGTGGTGACAGATTCTAGAAGCTACACATATTTAATGGCTTCACATAGCAACGCTGAAAAACTATATATCCTGTAAACCTAAAAACAGTTAAGATTTTCAGTGTTGCTATATGAGATTATAAAATATGTGTAGCATCCAGAATCTGTCATCGCTTGGATTTCTGTGGGAGGCTTCCTGCTGGCAAAACCCTACTGAACTGCCCAAATATCCCATTATTTTATTATTATAAATTTTCAAATGGCAAGCTGTTCTTGATTCCACACCATTTTCGTTAACTGTCCATCCAGCACAATCTAACAGCTGCATATTTACAATAGCTGTGTTTCTAAGTCAGTGTTTCTCAACCTTGACAATTTTAAGGCATGTGGACTTCAACTCCCAGAATTCCACAGCCAGCATTGCTGGCTGTGGAATTCTGGGAGTTGAAGTCCACATGCCTTAAAATTGCCAAGGTTGAGAAACAAGTAATGCAGCCTCCGATTCAACGCCTGCATGGCATTACAGGACATCGTGTGCCGGTGCCTGAACGTGCTGGTGCCTCTCTTTGGATTTCGCTGGATTTCACCCATCCCGAAATGTCCCCCGTGAAAGTTACAGCAAGTTCATACATGCCACGCCACTGGTGAGACGACAATGGGAAGAATTTCCTGACATTTCCCTCCATCTCTTTCCCAGATTATCCATCTTCCCCCATGGAAGGGTGGGAGAACTAACACCTGCAGCCCGAGGCTGCCAGCCTGCTCAAACCTGAACTTCACGCTCCGCTTACCATTGTGCGAGTCTCCGACGCTAACGACCGTCAAGCGCCCAATAACCCACTGAACCCACGAGCCAGATCCCAAACAGACCGCTCCGCCCCCCTAACGAGCTTTGCTGCTTCACGTTTTCCGGTTCCGGGAAGGGATCGGTCTTCCCAAGTTGTCGCTCTCGGTTTCCGATCTCGTTGGTGCAATTCCAGCCATCTTGGAATATACCAATTGTTGTTGAAAAGGGTGGCAAGGAAATAAATTAGCTGGCTACATATCCGGNTCACGCCGGCGCCCTCAAAGCCAAACGCGCGCGGCTTCTCAGAGCAAAAGCTGAAGGCGGAGAAGAGGACGCTGGCCAACATGCTGCCGTTCGGGCGCCAATCAGCAGGCGGACTGGAGCAGAGGAGGGCGGGGTTTCCCACCAAGCGCGGGAAATCTGTTCTCTAAAGGGGCGGTCCTAGGGTTTGATGAGGGCGTGGTCAGGTTTGGGTGGGGGCGTGGCCAGGGGAGGGAGGTGAGTTCCACCACCTTTTCTCTGAGAAAAAAAGCCCTGATTAGTAGTATCAGTGTTTCCTCTATAAGCTGCTCATTGTTGAACAGGTACGCAGAAATTTTCCGAGAAGCATACTACCCAGTAAGGACCCTTTACATACTCCTTTGCTTTCTCTCTGAAGTAGTCATTCAACACTTCCTGTAATCGAGTGCTGTCACTTTGGATGAAACCTTCTAATTCGGCATTATCCAGTGGTCCAATTTCATCATCATCAAATTGTTCGAAAAACTAAGTGTGAAACAAATTATTGTTATTTAAATCAATTCCATATGCTTTCAGTAACAAACTTAAATTGCAATCCTCCAATGTATTTAAAAACAAATTTAAAATGTATTCGAGGATAATTAATTTACGTCCCCTCCCCTTTATATAACGACCAACATTTCCACTGATGAAAAAAGCTCATAAAACAAAAGTTACTGTTAGCCCAGCGATTGAGCTTTCTGTCTGTCTAATTTATGTAGCCACCCAACTCACAAACAAGTGATTCTGGGTGGTATGCAACAAACTAAAAAATAAATAAATATCTAAAATCATTATTACTGGCGAATATTAAAGTGTTAAAAACTTTAATTTCTTTTAGACAAGAAATAAGGTACAAGTCAAGCTATGTCATAGCATTAGATATAGTATTATACAACTCCTTAAAATTCTTAAGGAAAAACACATTAACAGAGCAGTAGTTTTACATACCAAGGGTGTTAAGAGATCAGGTTTAAAATTAAGTAACGTTTTCCAAATATATGCCCATAATTACAATCACTGTTGTAAGTTTATTTCACCTTCTCAAATCTTTCATCCAGAAGTGTCAGTTGTTCATTTCTTCTCATGACTGAAGAGGTCACGGAATACTCTGTGAAACGGCTCTTGGTCTCTTCTTCCATGAAAAGGAATTCTTTCATCTTCCCTTTAAAATCACTGTCATCTGACAAAGGACCTTCAGAATCATATTCTTCGCCACTTTGAGAATCTTCTCCATCCTCTTCCTCCTCCACATCTTCCCATGCATCTTCATCTTCAGATAAGCTGGCAATAACATATACATTGACTTCCTTAAATTTACAGTTCATTTTACTAATAGGCTAATAGTTCATGATTTTTCATGTACTGTATTTTCCCGAAAGTAAGACCTACCCCGAAAATAAGCCCTAGCTTGATTTTTGAGGGGTGGACCTAATATAAGCCCTCCTCCCAAAATAAGCTCTAGTTTTGGGCGAGGTGCACACCTAAAAATCAAGCTAGTGTGGGGGTGGGAGGGTGGAGCTGCCCCATGCGCCCCATATCCACTTGCCTTGCAGCCAGGCCTCTCTTCGCCAGTCCATTTCTGCGGCGTCCCCAGGCCTGCATTTCACAATCAGAGGCCTTTACGGAAAGCCTCTGCAGCCGAGAACTGAGCTATGGATTGAATCTATTGCTTGGTTATCGGCTACAGAGGCCTTCTAGAAAGGGCTGACTGCAAAATACAGGCCTGAGCTCCATTCTCAGTTGCAGAATGAAGCTGCTCCTTCGGCTGCAGAAGAAGTGGCGGCTGGGCCGGGCTGCAGGTGCCGAAGGTGAGTGGAAAAGAAACCCCCCCCCCCAAAAAATACGACCTGGTGCCTCTTTCAGAGGCAAAAAAATAAAATAAAAATAAGACTGGGTCTTATTTTCAGGGAAACACAGTACTACTGCACAGTATAACTAAGAATGAAATAGTAATCAATCAAGACCTGAAAAAGGTATAAAGAGTGGAATAATTTTGATGCACCCAGTATTGGGATTCCCTTTCCAGTAGAAAAATGAATAAGATAATAAAAACATAGTCATATGTTTTTCATTCCATTACCAAGAGAGTTCCTTCTCCAGTTCTAGGCTTCCAGATTTATTAGCTCTTAAAATGAAGTCATCTTCAAGCAGATTATCTGGACTGTCAAAATCAAAGTCATCATCTAGTGCTGCAATAATGTCAGGATCAAGATCCGGTCTAGGCCCTAGTGTTAGATAAAACATTACGTTAAAAAGCAGTTTTGACAGGATTAAGTCATTTCTCAGAATTATCAGTTTCCCTGAACACAAGTTATTTAGCAAACAGAAAAAATAATTCATACAACAGCAATTAGTTAGAAAACTACCTTCTCCTATTACCCCCAGATCAAACCTGAGAATTTTTCAAAAGTGTTTTAAGGTTAAATTGAATGGAATAGTGATCAGTATTGTCTTCTTGCCTTGATGAAAATAACGTGTTAACTCAAGGCAAACAACAGCTATCTTATGCACTCTTGTAATTTATCTCTTTTTACAGATTAGGACAGTAACAGAATTCCTCAATCACATATACGTTAATAATGTGAAGAACAGATTAAAACGGTCTTAAAGAAAAAGTTTCATTTTTCACATCAAATATAAGTGCACATAAAAGAATGTAGTGTAAATGAAGTACCTGGAACAGGAGCAGCTTTATTTAATAGTCCCACGTCTTCTTCAAATTCTGATGCAAATACTGAGGAGGGCAGATTAATGGTAGGAGCCTAAAGAACAAAGAATACGTAGCATTTTCTTTTAAAATGTTCAGGAGACTAAGTATCCTCAACTGAGTTTCTAGCATATACTTTTCATATGATACAGTGACAAATCAGTTCATGTCCCATAATAAAAAATTTTGGAATGCTGTCAATAATTTTATTAGCACTACTAATGAATAAAAATAAGGTAGTTTTAGATCTATCACAAAATAATTCAATGGGTGATTGAAAAAAGTACGTGAAAATCAAAAACATTGTTTAAAAAATTAAGCTTTAAATTTAAGAAATACTACTAGTTTGATTTGAACATACATATGGTAATTATAGGAAATACCACCACAGCACTTAAGAACATTTTTACTTACCGGAATGTGTTGAATTTCATCTTCTACCTCCCCTTCTGTAGACACTACAATCCTGCCTTGATTTGGGAAGCTTGATGGAACAAGTTCAGAAGGTCCTGAAGCTTCCTTCAAATGTTGCAAGTAATCGTAATCATCATCAAAGAATACTCCATATTTCCGCTGTTCTTCTCTTCTTTTTTCATCATTTCTCTAAAGGCATTGAAGAAGGAAATTACTGAATTTAGCTAATGTTGCTGTCAAACATAAAGAAAAAAAGCATAATGATTCTAATTACTTTCTACACATCTTTGCAGCAATGTTGATGCTCAGAGAATTCAGAATTCCACAATTAGGAACAACATATGAAGAGCCTTGACATTATTTCTGCAACATCATTTTCCCACAATGGTCAACTCAAGTGCCTCCTGAAAGCCCATGCACAGGCAGAATAGTCCTTCTCCGTCCTTTCACCTAAAGGAAGCATTAAGCTGCTTTTCTTCAACTTTGTCATTTCTTATTACCTTTAATGCAGGCAAGAGAACTCTCTGGGGTGCACTATCATCCGCCGTCAAAGGGTCCTTCTGACTTCTATGCACTACATGAAATGTTACAGCTTTTTTCTTTTCTATGAACGGTTTCTTCCGTCTGTGGGGCTACAAAACAAGAGACAATGATCTGAAAATGGAACAAAACTGATAAGGGTTTCACTACTTATCTAAGTAAATGGGTTATTTATATCCTCCCTAGGAATATAATTGTAAAAACATTTTTTTTACTGCTACCTAGAGTCACAATACTCTGATTGGGGCAACCATATAGACCAAACAAACAAACAAACAAATCTGTTACATCTTTACTTAGTTAACTGATGCATACTAAATATTTAGAATTCTTTTAGCTTTTTAAAATGTGTTAAATGTAAACCAGAATAGATTGATTTGAGCTTTTTGGGGATGGTTTGTTTGCTTCCAGGGTTGTCCAGAACACAGAGTAGTTTACAGCACTCTAGACAGCTTCTGGCACAGATATGTTTGGATCATCCCATTACAGTGAATTTCCACATTGAATGTTTTCCCCATTGATAGGTTTTATGGTTATCTCTTTCAGGAGATGATTCTCAAGTTACTTGACTTTATATACTGCATTCTACCGAAATATCTCTTTAGTGTATAATAAAAAGCATAAAACCAAATCAAAGCCACAAATAGCAAAAATGACAATAATAAAAATAAAAATAAAAGGCCTTTTAACTAAAAGATTTGTTTTAAAGCCTTCCTAAAGTGCAGACAATGAAATTAGATTCTGCAGCTCCAGTAAACTTGGCAGATACAGAGAAGACTGAACTTCAGGTTGCCAAGAGCTAAGGTTTCATCTCAGTATATTGGGGTGGGGAAACAGTTGAAATTATAAAGGAAATCTTTGCTCAGTTATTCCTAACACAAACCATTTAGATTTTAAAAGTAATAAGTAATTTATATCTCATCAGGAAATAAATCAGCAGCCAATACAATGCCTTCAGCATAAGAATCTGACTCCACCCTAACGGCATCTAGGAAAGGAAGGTGAACAAATGCTTTTAAGTGTCACAGTGGCTCCAATCTTCATAAAAGAAGACAGGGGGGGATAGTCATGATTACTTTTTCCTGGTCAAGTCCCATATCATGTGCAATTTGCAGCTACCTTTACCAGATAGGTACCTCACACAGATATCCAAGTGGTGACAGATTCTAGAAGCTACACATATTTAATGGCTTCACATAGCAACACTGAAAAACTATATATCCTGTAAACCTAAAAACAGTTAAGATTTTCAGTGTTGCTATATGAGATTATAAAATATGTGTAGCATCCAGAATCTGTCATCGCTTGGATTTCTGTAGGAGGCTTCCTGCTGGCAAAGCCCTATTGAACTGCCCAAATATCCCATTATTTTATTATTATAAATTTTCAAATGGCAAGCTGTTCTTGATTCCACACCATTTTCGTTAACTGTCCATCCAGCACAATCTAACAGCTGCATATTTACAATAGCTGTGTTTCTAAGTCAGTGTTTCTCAACCTTGACAATTTTAAGGCATGTGGACTTCAACTCCCAGAATTCCACAGCCAGCATTGCTGGCTGTGGAATTCTGGGAGTTGAAGTCCACATGCCTTAAAATTGCCAAGGTTGAGAAACAAGTAATGCAGCCTCCGATTCAACGCCTGCATGGCATTACAGGACATCGTGTGCCGGTGCCTGAACGTGCTGGTGCCTCTCTTTGGATTTCGCTGGATTTCACCCATCCCGAAACGTCCCCCGTGAAAGTTACAGCAAGTTCATACATGCCACGCCACTGGTGAGACGACAATGGGAAGAATTTCCTGACATTTCCCTCCATCTCTTTCCCAGATTATCCATCTTCCCCCATGGAAGGGTGGGAGAACTAACACCTGCAGCCCGAGGCTGCCAGCCTGCTCAAACCTGAACTTCACGCTCCGCTTACCATTGTGCGAGTCTCCGACGCTAACGACCGTCAAGCGCCCAATAACCCACTGAACCCACAAGCCAGATCCCAAACAGACCGCTCCGCCCCCCTAACGAGCTTTGCTGCTTCACGTTTTCCGGTTCCGGGAAGGGATCGGTCTTCCCAAGTTGTCGCTCTCGGTTTCCGATCTCGTTGGTGCAATTCCAGCCATCTTGGAATATACCAATTGTTGTTGAAAAGGGTGGCAAGGAAATAAATTAGCTGGCTACATATCCGGCAGCGCTAGAACTTAGTATCGTCAAGCGAGGATGGAGTATACAGATTGTTTTTCCTTTCCATGACAATAATAACCTGTTCGCTCTGGGAATGGATCCCAACAAAACAATAAGCCTCAACAATGCGCTCTCCCTTTTCCAGCGGAAGTATTGGTAGAAAAGAGCAACAGCTTAGAAAGGGCTAGAGCGGCATAGTTTATAGTTCCAGAGTGATGTCACTTTATTGGGGAAAAAAAAAGATACCGGTATACCGGAAGTGCCCATAAATGTGAGATGCATCGTTTCTTTCACGTGATCTTTTGTGAATTACCAGCTTGCCTGCTCTAAGTGACGTTCGTCATTCATGTCTATTCTGCCTGCTCTGAGTGATGTTTGTCACTGTGTGAAAGAATATTAACGCACTATAAATCTTACAGTTTGTAATTCTAAATTGAAGAATAACAGGAGTTGCAAGGGATCTTGGAGGTCTTCTAGTCCAACCCCCTGCTCAAGCAGGAGACTCTATACCAGTGATGGTGAACCTTTTAGAGACTGAGTGCCCAAACTTCAACCCAAAACCCACTTATGTATCATCGGGTGCCGTGTGGGCGTGGCCCATTGGGTAGCTGCAGTGGTAATGGCAGACTGGGTGGGACTAAAAAGTTCAATCAATCAATTCCAACTTTGCGGGATTTTTTTTTTTTTGTGAGAAGTTGAAATTGATTGAACCTTTTTTTTTTTTTTTTTGCACACAGTGGCAGAGGCCTAAAACCAAAAGGTTTTTATAAAACCCAGCTGAAGGCCTAGGACTGGGGCAACGGCGCGCGTGCCCACAGAGAGGGCTCTGCGTGCCACCTGTGGCACGCGTGCCATAGGTTCGCCACCACGGCTCTATACCAAAGGTAGGCAACCTTGGCTCTTTTATGACTCGTGGACTTCAACTCCCAGAATTCCTGAGCCAGCCATGCTGGCTCAGGAATTCTGGGAGTTGAAGTCCACGAGTCATAAAAGAGCCAAGGTTGCCTACCCCTGCTCTATACCAATCCGAACAAATGACTGTCCAGTCTCTTCTTTAAAAAGCTCCAGTGATGGAGCACCCACTACTTCTGAAGCTATTCCACTAATTGTTCTCATTGACAGGAAATTTCTACTTAATTGTAGGTTGAATCTCTCTCTGTAAAGCTTTCATCTGTTACTCCTTGTCCTGCCCTCAGGTGCTTTGGAGAATAGATTGGCTCCCTTGTCTCTCTGACAGCCTCTCAAATATTGGAAGACTGCTATCATTTTCACCCCGAGTCCTTCTCTTCATTAGACTAGACATATCTGGTTCCTGCAACTTTTCATCCTATACTTTTTACCTCCAGTCCTCTATATTTACCTTTGTTCCTCTTCTCTGTACTCAGTTTCTGAGTCTCAACATATTTTTTTGTATCGTGGTAAGCAATGCAGTATTTCAAGTGTGGCCTTACCAGTACAGCATAAAGTGGTACTTTCACGTGATCCTGATGCTATCCCTCTGGGGGTGCAACCTAGGACTGCATTGGCTGTTTGGGCAGCTGCATCACACTGCTGAATGAAGTGATTGTTCACTAGGACTCCTAGATCCCTCTTACAAATACTGCTGTTAAGCCAGGTATCACCTATTCTATAACTGTGTGTTTGGCTTTTCTTGCCTAAGTATAAGCTCTTATTTTTCTCATCACTGAATTGTATTTTATTGGCTAGGGCCCAATGCTTAAGTCTTGTCAAGATCCTTCTGAATCGTGAGCCTATCTTCTAAAGTGTTGGCTATTTCCCCCAGATTGGTGTTGTTTGCGAGTTTGATGAGTTCCCTTTCTATCCCTTCATCTAAATTGTTTATAAAGATGTTGAAAACCTACTGGGCCTAAGATAGAAGCTTGTAGTATTCCATTGCATGCTTCCCTCCATGTGGATGTAATTCTATCCAGTGTGATTGGTCAGCCAGTTATGAATCCATTTGGTGGTGATGCTGTTTGTTCCATATTTTTCTATCTTATAAAGAAGTAAGCTGTGGTCTACCTTGTCAAATGCCTCACTGAAGTCAAAATATATTATGTCCACAAATTTTGCTGGTCCACTAATTAAGTTACTTTGTCAAAGAATGCAAAAAGGTTGTGTGGCATGATTTTGTTTTGTTTTTGAGTTTGACTGAACTAAAGTGATCTTTTTTATTTTTTTTAGTAAACTTACATGTCACTCATCTTGCCTAGAGGGGACTTATATGGCAAATATATGGCCTATCTGCGAAGAACTTCTAGTTAATTTATTAAAAAGTTAAACTATGAGTATATATTCCTGCATTTAGACCAGACAAGATCTCAGACTGTATCTGCTTTCAAACATTACAATGTAAAAAGATGAAATAAAAGCAATCAAAAAAAGAAAGAGGGCAGGCACCAATTCTTAATTTTTTATATTTATATCACAACCAAAATTTGTTAAAATTGGATATTACAATTCAAAACAGTTTTGATACTCCTCCAATATTGCACAATATTCTAAGTTAAAATATACGGCTAGCCTGTGGATGGTGCTGTATAGCTATATTTTTGTATCTTATAAAAAAAGGAAAAATGGAGAATAACTCTTTCATTTGATTCCAATAGAAGAGACTATATGTACTTCAGGGTTGAACTGTAGAGTCCTTGGTGCTCTCTAATCTTGGATTAAGGAACAACTAGAGAAGACACATTAATACTATCAACAATATCTTCAACACAGTTGGATAATGAATATCTGCAAGCAAACATCCAAATTCAGAGAGCACCAAGGAATCTTTTCATTTGTTTGAGTCCTGGGACTATTAAAGATACCATATCTGAAATCATCTATAAAATCTGCAAACATCTTGATAATCACATGATGATAGCAGAAAGGCAGAATCATCTACGGTAGCAGTGGTTATCTAGATTTTTTCTGCCCAAGTAAAGTAGACACATCCATATTTTTCTTGGCAACAGAGCAGAAAAAAATATGTTCAAGATTGTGTTACTTCTAACATACAACCTTGGAATTATCTGGAAGTTTTCATCCAAATAAAAATCTATCCTGCTTAAATGTCCGCACTCAAACAAAAACTGCCACATGCTGACCATCCTTAAAACTAACACAGGTAATCTGGAAGCCCCTCCCCTAATTATTTTATTTTATTTTTCTTAAGCCTAGTTCGTATCTTTATTTTCTTATTACAAATAGTTCTGTTTGCTATATGAACTTCCTCAGTCACACTTAGGTTGCTTTAAAAAATTTTTAGAGCATAATGCTGTATACATTTACACAGGCATATGGCTAGGCTCTTGATAAAACTCAGTAGGTCTTATTTCTAAGTACACACATATAAAATAATTCTGATAAAAAAATTTAATTTCTTAATTAAAAGAAAGGAATGAAAGTTCTGACGTTAAAAAATCATGACAGAGATCATTTATTGCTGAAAAAAATACATATCTTTTATAATTAGGAACTAAAGAGAACACATGGACAAAAATAAATGGTAGTATGTACAGACTTCAAAAAGGATAAATAATACACATATATTGTAATACTGCAGTACATGCCCTTGTGTATTTCAGGTCCTTAAGCTTTACTGTGTACATTAAAAGGATAAATAAGTGCTAATATAAGACAATTTTTAGTGTAAACAATGTCATGGGCTTATAATAAGCCACCATATTTCGGACCAACATAATTAAAGCACACCACCTTTTACTGTTATACTAATTGGATATTCACAAATACAGTTACAAGATAATATAAAAGTAGACCATTTGCTCCACATAACCACACACAACAAAGGCTGTAAGTTTGAAGCCCCTTTTGTAGTTTTCTCATGGTCCTAAATGAGGATTTAATGTATGTCTAGAGCAGCAAGTCCCTTTCCTATTAAAGTGGGTCATCAACTTGCTAAGGCAAAGGACAAAACCTGAATCATTCCAAAAGCTGCTAAACTGCAGCACTGAATACTTTTAGTCAATATCAACAAATATTTCAAATTCTCAGTTAATAACAGTTGCGGGGGAGGGGGGGAAAGGGACTCTGTGATGAGGGATCTTTCTATCAAATAATAGTGCTCTGCTTTGTCCCTTTGCTTCCTTAGCATGGAGATGTTCAGTGCAATAAGTGCTTTGGGGAACAGAAAAACTATTTCTTTTGGATATCCCTGTTATCCCTCTTCTCCACAGTGGAAGGATAGATTGAACAAAAATGTGGGCAAGACTCCCATTCCCCAGGCTGACTGGTGTGATGGCAAAGAGGCAAAGGAAAGAGAAACAAAGCACTGTTATGATAGGAATCCATCCATGTGCAGGTGGTGTGTTCAAGCAGGGAAGACTTGTGTCTGTAAGAGTTTTATTTCCAAATGCAGTAAAACTTCAAACTAATTGGATTTGGTTCAGGTGCAACAAAAATCCACTTGCCATTGAACATATGTATATTGACATTTTTACTTGTGCATAAACACCCATTTGCCTTTGAACAGCCATTTCAGTGTAAAGGACATCCATTTCTATCCCATTAGTTTGTTCCAAGGAAGATTTACTACAGTCCCAAATTGGCAACGTAATGCCAATTTATTCTATATCAGGAGTGTCAAACTGCCGGCCCGCAGGCCGGATGCGTCATGCCGAAACTGCGCCCATCCCATTGCCGGCAATGGAAAAAAAAGTCGCGATATGTCGCAACACATCACGTGACATTGCGAGTTTGACACCCCTGTTCTATACGATTTGCCAGCCCCCCACCCCAAAAACTCATGACCTTTCCTATTCTGATAGAAATAAATCCTGATTTCAATATAAATCATCCTCTTGATCTTACATTGTTCTTACTGATTTAAGGACCAATTAAATATCACTCAAACTATCAAAAAGGGGGGAAGATGTTCATGCGTATTTCATCTTTGTTGACTTTTATTTTCAGTTTGGCTTCAAAATCTGATTATCATTATTGTCTGATTAAGCGAGATTAAAGATTATCAGTTCTTTTCACAGTATTCTTATTGTCTCACATTTTTCGTTTTCTAAAAATACTTTTCAATTGATTCATGACTACAGAGAATCCTTGGTGCTTCTTTTACATTTATCAGATTAAAAAAAATAATTTGTGTTGCAATCCTAAATAATAAAGATACACTTAGCGGTTTTAATATTGTACAACTCATATAATCTAGCTGTACTCAAAACTGCAACCCCCAATGGACATTTGGAATTCATAATCATACAATCATAAACATAACTGTGAATTGTACCAATTACTGCCAAATACACTGATATTACATCAAATTACTGTACTATTTATGAGAAGTAGAGTTGGCAATTTAAAAAAAAACATTCTGGAAGACAGAAAGAGAACTGTTCACATTCCTAGTTTTTTATCTTGCTGCAGTAATCCAGTCTTTTAATATAGTATAAACTTATTTCCATGAAGAAGAAAAATTTTATTCTAAGTATATCAGTTGGCCCACAAATAGTTCAGCTATATCTGTTCCCATCCTATTTGAAAGTGGACTGTGCTTCCTTCTTGTCAATAGTCATTTTCAGTTCACCCCAGTCAACTGTTAGTAAGGAAAAACAGTACGATTTTTTTATTCAAAGAAAATAATAAACATTCATATTACATGGCCATTTTTATATTCTTTTCTGTATCTCTTCTAGTGGTCTCTTTTTGTTAAAATATGAGGATCCACAATATAGAGTAACTTCAGGTTTTAAGGTGCTGCAGACATTTCAGTTGTGATGTACTCTGGGCTTCAAGATGGAGGACTTTCCTCAGGAAAGATATTTGCGCTCAACAACAGAGTATTTTCAACACTTAAGGACGATGAAACCTGAAGGTGAGAAATAAAATTTATTGTTTTGATTTTTTTCTCATTATCCTCAAGGTACCGGTACAAGAAAAGATCAGAACAACTGTAAAGTTCAAATATTCAAATTCCAAATGCTAAAACACCCACATAATAACCATACCATACATACTACTTTCTTTATAAAATTGAATCCATATTTCAAAATCATATTCAAATCTGACTAACATTGCTGCTAAATTTTTAAGTATTAATGAATACATTTATTTACTTCTTGGTTCATTGTGTGCTATACGATCACGAATAATATTTTAATAACTCCACGGATTAAAATGAGTTATCTTGAAAGGTTTAGAAAGACAAAAAGCTTCCAAACTAGTAGAGTAATGAACTGAGATCCCATGGACAAAAAAAAAAGTATTGATGGGAACCCTTTGTTTAGACACTGTTTCACATAGTTGGGCATTGTTCAATTTAAGAACAGTATGTCGCCCTCTTATTGTTATTATTTCATTTGTTTCAGAGAAGGGAGAAGTCTTACATCATTGAATGTGTGTACAGGAACAAGGATTTTAGCTTTTGATCATATCTGAAGCCACTCATAGAAAAGCACATCATTTGTGCCTCTATAAATTTCAAATTTACGGGCCATCATTATAAGAAATCTTGTCTGTTTCTTGTTATTATGCTTGCAATAATTTGAAACTATACATACATATTGAACTAAGTACCAGATTACTATAACCTGCAGCTTAAGAATTGAACATCTGAATCAATAATGTAATAATTTGAGAACTATTTTTGGACAACCTAAAGACAGAAGTAAATAATCTGAGTAAAATACAATCCCTACTCTGTCAAAATTAGAAATTGAATCACAATATTGATTGCAGAAAAAAACAGGCTGATGCAACTATAATATATACCCCCATCACAAGTTCCAGCAATATGCAAAAGTAGTCATGTGATACAAAAGTGGAAAAGAAGAGACACATAATACTCTAGTCTGGACAGCAATGTATTTACCACAGGTCCAGAGCAATGACTGCATTGCTATATATTGAGAAATCACCAGATTTCTGATAAGCATTATAGCAACTCAGTATTATCCACTTGCCTTCTCACACTGAATACTGTTGATAATATGTTCATTTACAGACAATAAGCTCTTTATAGGTCTGAAGATTCCCCGCAACGCTGAATGCGCAGCCCATATATGCACAAACACACACTGACATATACATACCCAAACCCCACTCCTAAACTGTGCTGAGGAAAGAAGAAATAGGGGAGACATGATAGCAGTGTTCCAGTATTTGAGGGGCTGTCAGAAAGAAGAAGGGGTCACGTTTTTCTCCAAAGCACCAGAGGGCAGGACGAGAAACAATGGTTGGAAACTGATCAGAGAGAAGCAACCTGGAATTAAGGAGAAACTTCCTGACAGTGAGGACAATTAACCAGAGGAACAGCTTGCCTCCAGAAATCGTGGGTGCTCCATCACTGGAGATTTTTAAGAAGAGGCTAGACAGTCACTTGTCTAAGATTGTATAGGTTCTCCTGCTTGAGCAGGAGGCTGGACTAGAAGACCTCCAAGGTCCCTTCCAGCTCTATTCTATTCTAAAAACGAAAGTTTAAGAGAATAGTCATTTCTGTGTACTTGTGATAGGAAGAACAGTAGTGTGAATGCAAGGGGATGGGGGATGAATTTGTGGAAAAGAGTATCAGGCTTCACAGTGTACTACAGAAGGAGAAATGCATTATCTTGCTAAGATGCTGAATTCATAGAAATAAAATGGTTAACTTTTTGCTGCAGCTAAAAATTTCTGGAAGTTCTGTTTTTCCCTAATCCAAATAAAGTCCACAAAACCAGTGTACGCATAACCAAGGAATTGTTGATAAATTCCTAAGTTAATGTTTTTTTAAAATCTTGCTTTCATATGTCACAATAAAGGAGCAAACAAATGAGTTAGAATACTGTTTATTAAAAGAAAAAACTTTAAAATCTCCATGTTTCTTAACAAAATTAGTTTTCTTGATTAATCCGATAGTTGCTCAGCATTTATATTGCCAGACCTAAGGCAAAACCAGAAGATGTTTTTAGCTATATCACTACCAATTTTAAGATATCAGCATTTGGACATAAGACCAATATTTTAAGTGAAGGATAGATGATATGCAAGTGAATCATTTGATTCTCAGAAGTAGATGTCATTTAGTAGCCACTACTAGCAGCTCAGTTGGGATTTATGAAGTCTCCACCTTTTGTCAACTGTCAAGACTTGTGTGTATTAATCAATCTATTGAGATGCAGAAAATAAAGTACTATTTCAAGTTTAAGAAGCAATCTATCACAAATTAATAAGTTCTTATTGATTCTTATTTTCAATAAACGGTAAACTAATAATTCAACTTTTTTTCCTCAATTTACTGAGAAAAGTTATCTCTTCAGCACAATACATGATCTGAAGAGTTCAGGAGTAATTTGTTTTAAAGGAGTTTGCTATCTGCGCCTGAATGGTTTCTTACCTTGTAAACTGTCTACTTTCTTCGTGTACTTCCATTTCTGTGCTTTTGAATTCATTTAATTCTTTCCGTATTGCTGCCTGATGAAAGAAAACACAAAATGTGAACTCAGATTGCTTTAAATCAGGGGTTCCCAACCAGGGGTGCTCGCACCTCCTGGGGGTGTGAGACGATATTCCGGGGGGGGGGCGAACACTTGGCTTTTCAGAATTATAATGTATATGCATAGTTCACTGCCGTTATTTCAAACTTTTGTAAGGGGTGCGAGACTATATCAGAAGCGTTCTAGGGGTTCAGGGAATAGAAAAGGTTGGGAGCTGCTGCTTTAAATGGAAATACAATACATAAATATCTACAATGTAATGAAGTGGTCAATCTCAAAAAGAGGCAAAATACATTTTGTGAGCCAAATTTCATAATCCCTAACCACTGGCTAAATTTTTAAGGATTTATGGGCACTAGTCAAAAGCTCTGAAGAATAGTTTGCATCCTCTAATACTTACTCTTGTTTGCATCTGTTGCATTTAACTTGCTTTTTCTCTTCTTATTTCATGAAGTTTTATTTGTTTGTTCAATTTATATATACGATTCTATATTTACTCTATATTTAGTAAAGCTGAATATTTTACTATGTGAGATTGGACAGTGTAGTGTTTTAAGTTTAATTAAAAAGCAACAAACTTACCCATAAAATATATTAGGAGAAACCTACTACTCAAAATAAGAGAGAGGTCCCTAAACTTACTCTGAGTTTCAAATCTATCAAACCATTGCTGAAGAATAATCCAGAATTATTTCATGTATCAGTCTGGTAGAATTTCCTTTACAATTAAAATAGGTCTAAAATATCTGTCTACATCTCTCAAAAGAACAAACTGCTTCTAGAACTTCAGCATCTTCTATTCTAGGGAGATACATAAAACACACGACTGGAAACAATAAACAAAACACGATACATTAAAGCATAATGTTATAGGCATTAAAAAAACCTATTTTTTTAAATTTTAATGAAATGGAGCAGGTTGCCTGTCAATAGCCTGCCATGTAATAGAGCAGGCAGAACCGCAACTGTCCCTCTCTTTAACCAGCCGCCCGTTAACTCGCCGAGGTCCCACGTGGCCGGATGCATCCTGGCACGGCTGATTTCCCTCCCCCCCCCCGTCCCGGCCCTCCTGGCCTCGCATGCTCTCCTTTTCCCGGGCACAACCCACTGCAGCACCTCCTCAGCTGTTGACGGTCCATCCAGCTCAGAGGCAGCTTCTCTGAACTGCTGGCAGCAGGCGAGGCGGGGGCTGCTTTTTGTCTTCTCCTCCGGATGACTTTGGCAGACTTCCCCACCTGCCCACTTCCCCTCTTCCCTTTCACTTCCCTTCTGAGCCCTGTTTGCAGCTCTGCACACACAGCCACCGAAGCAGCAGGTGGAGCACTGGAGCTGGAAAGCATTTTTCTGGAAAAGGTGCCCCACCCACCACTGTCCTCACTTCCCAAACTATTTCTTTTCTAACCTTTCCAGTTCCTCCATCACTTCCTCCGCCACTGTGTGTAGTCCCACAAACAAAAGAAATTTGTGGGAGTAAAAAAAAGTTCAATCAATCAATCAATTCCAACGAAATTGGAAAAGATTTCGTGAAGTTGGAATTGATTGATTAAACTTTTTTTTTTTAGTCCCAAACTTCTTTTATTTGTGGGACTGCCTACAGCGGTGGAGGAAGTGACGGAGGACTGTGTCGGAGCTGGAAAGAAGGTGTCGCATGGGTCCGATCGGGGGTGGGAGGCAGGGCTTTTCTGCCACGCATCAATCGGTTCTCCGAACTCAAAAGAAATTAGCAAACTGGCTGAATCCCACCGCTGCACCCATCCCTGGGCCTGCCTAATTCCTGCTTTCCATCCTGGAATTGCTGGAATCATGCATGCTCCCAACCCTCGAGCAAGGCTGAGCAGGGGCTTCCCAGCGGTTGGCCTTTCATGGAGGGGCTGCTTCACCCTATGCCATTGAAACTCCTGTGTATTTAAGAGCATAGGTGGGGGGAGATCCCGGAGGTCATAAGGGGGGGGGGGCAACTGCCAGGTGCCTGAATTTTCACCATGTAACTGCGGTAGTGATACAACAGCTGCAACTTCAGGCCCAGGTTGTAAGTCCCTTCATTCAGCACCATTGTAATTCTTGAACAATCGCTGAAATGAGCAGTTGTCAAACACAGACTATCTGTATTTCAACATTCCACAAATATTAGGATATGAAAAATAATTACTCAGTGACAAGGAAGCTGGATTTAGTGCACTGTTTCTTCTGGACTGAACTTTAAAATTTATTTTAAAATAGTTCTAGAACAATCACATTAAAAGAAATCATGTTTGGAGGTGCATGAAATCTTAATTAAGGAAGAATTATTTTGAGATACAGAAAGACAATGTATTTAATATTTCAGCCATTCATTCATTCATTCACTCACTCACTCACTCACTCACTCATATTCATTGATGCATGCAAGATTTATGCTTCTTACCTTGTCTGCAGGTGTTAATCTTGCCCAGGGTTTATCAGCACGTCGATCATAATCTGGTGAATCTGTTGCTTCCACATATTCGTTAAATCGTAAGATTCTTCGTGCCTGAAGTTCAGCCACTGTTGGTCTCAAACTAAGCTGCAAGGAAGCAAATTTAATAAACTCTCTCTCAAAGAATCTGGAGGTTAGGCTTAACCTAATACAAACACCATTGAAAACAGAGAGGGCATAGAATAAAAAATAAATAAAAGCAAAGTTTAAATCCTGTTGATGAAGGAAATTCACTGATAAAGCATCATAGCTTCTGCTTGATTTCAGGACAGTCTTGTGTTGTAAGAAATCCCTAGAATTTAGTCATGTCTTGTTTCTTAGAAGTCCAATCAATGGACTCAGACACCACACCTTCTTGAGCAAAGCATTCCACACATTAACTTCATTTTATTCATCTGGATATTGTTGATACCAAAGTTACAGCTTCAGCAAATACTTATATTCCATTTGACCTTCTGCAATGATCTTCCAGATGGGACTCAGGATTTTCTTAATCGGTCTCTTCATTTCATAGGAGGTCATCTGAGTTTCATGTATAACTGTAACACTACAGCCAAATCTCTTTTCATGTCCATCTATTGTCAGGTGAACATACCAATGTACCCTGCCCACTTATATTTTCATCTTAATGTTGTTTTTAATGCCATTTGTGAAATTAGTGTTGTTGAAATTCCTAATTATTAATTTGATCTCTGAGCAAGATCTTTAACTCTGAAGCTGCACTTTCTCCTTGAACCCATTCTCGTTATTTACATAACAGCTGTTCCAACATTTGATGACAGTTTCACAATCATTCCCTCTCCAGATTAAATGTCTCATCCAACTCGTTCAATCTTTCCTCAGAGAACAAAATTTCCAGGGCCTTCTCCAACGTTTATCGGTTGGCGATGCAAAGGATGTGTATATGTACCTGTATTATTATTATTATTATTATTTATTGAATTTATATACCGCCCTATCTCCCTTACGGGACTCAGGGCGGTGAACAGGCAATAATAAAAACCACGATAAATATACATAAATTTCTGTCTAAAATCAAATTAAATAACAGGCCTGCTCTAAAAATACCCCATACAAAACCCCCACTAAAACATAATCAAACTACGCCAGGCCGGCCGCACGGAATAGATGAGCCTTCAGGGCTCGGCGAAAAAGGCCCAGGTCCGCAACTGTACGTAGGTCGGGGGTTAGGTCATTCCAGAGGGCAGGAGCTGCCACAGAGAAGGCTCTCCCCCTGGGGGTCGCCAGCCGGCATTGTCTGGCCGACGGCACTCTAAGGGAGCGGACTGGTGGGAGCGGACTGGTCGAAGGGAGGTGTTTGGTAGGAGGCGGTCTTGCAAATACCTAGGTCCATTGCCACGGAGCGCTTTAAAGGTTGTTACTAACACCTTGAAGCGCACCCGGAAGGCCACAGGCAGCCAGTGCAGCTCGCGCAGGAGAGGTGTTACATGGGAGTATCTAGAGGCCCCCAGGATCCCCCGCGCAGCCNCGCCGGAAACCACAGCCACATGGAGGAAGACCTCATGCTGGCAGGAAAAATGCTATCAACGTGACCTGATACTGGGCAAATGTCATTTAGAGCAGGGCTTTTCAATCAGTGATAGGGGTACCACCTGTGGTATATTGGCACCTGGCAGGTGGTACGCGACCATCCTAGAAAAGTGGTAGCGGGGGAGGGGAATGAGCTGAACTGGTGGCAGCACCCCACAAGCCTGAGCGAGAGATGGCTGGAGCTGCAGGGCTGTCAGGGCTCAGCGGAAGCGCTAGGATCAGCGCCAGGCTCCAGCTGGAGCTCGGCGCTGATCCTGGCGCTTCTGCTGAGCCCAGAAGAAGCGCCGATCAGCTGGAATGTTGCAGCCTCTCTAGGGTCTTGTGATTTACATTCAGATTCTTGGCAACTGATTCATATTTATGACAGTCACAGTGTCCCAGGGTCATGTGAAGTGACCAAAACCTGCTGCAACCACCCAGCAGGTAGAGGGAATAAAAACCAAACACCTCCCACCCCTCCCCCACTGCCAATCCTCAACAGAAATGCTCACAACAATGAAAACCTTGGACAGGAGGAAGAGCGCGGCTGGGCGGGCAGGCAGGTGTCTTGCTCGGCTGTGGCTTGGGGGGCACTTTTTTCAGTCCCATTGTAACTTTGAACAGTCACTAAGCGAACTGTTGTAAGTCGAGGACTACCTGTACTTTATCACTTTTTTCCTTTTTTTGGGTCATCAAGTTTTTGACACCTTGCTAGGCGATTGGTGGTACTCGGATGTTGCCATATCCTAAAAGTGGTACAATGGGTGAAAAGGTTGAAAAGCCCTGATTTAGATTTAATCCTATTTACTTTACATACTTTTTACACGTGCTAAATTTCTATTACCTATTTTATACCTATTTTATTTGCTCAGTGTTGAATGTTACATGTCTATAATTTGTAGGTGTTTCTGACCCGAATAAAGAAAGAATACACATGTTGATGTACGTTGAACAAAACATTTAATTTACCTTTCGGCTTAGACTGCGCTTCAGTTCTCTTTTAGCTTCTTGTTCTTCTTCTTCATTCTTTTCTATTTAAAGATGAAAGATAATAAATCTCTTGCTATTCATCTAGAAAGCTGCCACCAGACAGAAGGTGGAAATTTTATGACACATTCAACTTTTGTTATCCTTAAACTGTGTCTGTGCATCTCAAGATTAATGTTAGATGCATCTCACTACATGTTAGAATTGAACAGAACACATCTCCATAGTGGTCCATCACTACATTTCTATACGCAGTTCCTATCCACTTTTAAAGCATTTGTCGTTCGGCTGTTTTGGAACTCTGATACTAATTTTGGGTGGATGAATTAAAAATGTTACATCTCATCTGGTATATAGATGGAGCAAATTATGCAGTAGATGTGCCAAATACTCAGTTTCAGTAAATCAGTAGTTCTAGCATATCAATATGACATGCTGATAATATAGAAATGAAGCCATTTGGACTGGATTACATTGTTGCTAAAATAACTTATTCACCCACATTTGCCACTCACCCATTCAGTTTATATTTGCCACACTATTTATCACACCATGAAAATGCTGAAAGCAGATTGACCGAAGATGTGGTTATTGCAGACTGAGTTAGGAAAATATGCTTGCACAATTTCAGAGCCACTCTTTTATGAGAAGAGCTCAGCCCAGATATTCTCAGTCTATGTTAAGGGTCTTCAAACTTGGCAACTTTAAGACTTGTGGACTTCAACTCCCAGAATTCCTCAGCCAGCTGGCTGAGGAATTCTGGAAGTTGAAGTCCACAAGTCTTAAAGTTGCCAAGTTTGAAGACCCCCGGTCTATATCATTTTCATACTGCTCAGGCCTTCAGATAATCCATCTGTTTTTCCACAGTGACGCTGAGATAAAGAGCTAATGCTGGCATTTTATGCCAAGTGTCTCTGCGATCTACATGGGAGGATCTCCACCAGTCTACATCTGCTTTTGACATTCAGTTTTGTGCTCTAATATAATCCAGGAAATTAAACCTGAACATTCCACCATATCCTGTGGGGATTTATATAGCTGGGTTACAATGCATGTTTGCTAAGGAAACAAAAAACCCGAAAACAAACAAAGCTCTACTCTACTGGAATGTCACAGAAAACTACTCTATCTGATAGTTGTTCAAACAATGATAATCTTTATTCTCAACTGGCACAAAGAGCTACAGTACATTATGTTTCTAGAAAGCCAATTTTGGCAAGATAGCAAACTTACTGCCCTAAGACTCCATACCTGCAATTTTCTAAATAAACAATGTCTATACACTGTAAAAGGGTAAACATATTTAATGTATTTACTGTGTACAATACGTACATACAATCAGAATGCTCAATTCAAACCACTGGGCATGGTAGAATAAATTGATTCATAATTTAGCAGTAGATACTAAGATTTTTAGATCTAACTTTCATGTTAGGATCTGTATTTCCAAAATGTTATTGTCTCCCTGCTTACTGTCTGAGGGCCACTGCAGTCCTGCCTTGGCACCAAATGGCAGGGCAAACTTTGGCAGAAGTGCAATTGCAAATTGTACATTCATACTCTCCAATATTTGTTTTTAAAATATTCAGTTCATATTTAGCAAAAAAAAAAAAACCTTGCAGAATTATTCACATTCATAAAGCCAGGATGCGTGACCACTCTCAAAATGTAACATTATTGGCATTGCAGAATTAGATGCATTGTTTTAAAGGCTTACGTTTTAGGATGTTTCTTTGTTCTAGTTCTTCAGAGGTGGGCCTTTGACTAAGCCTTCTGCAAAAAGGAAGACACACATATATTTTCTCACAGTTACAACAGCTTCTTATGAAGTTATCTAGTTAATCTAGTTTAGAAAGAATCACTGCCAAAATGATTTCTCAAATACCAATTACCAAATACCACGACTTTATATATTACTTTTAATGCTGAACATGTGTAATTTGGATTTGCAAATAGATGCATATTACTATTTAGTGTTACTGAATAGATGTGTATATAGAACCACATAAATTAAGCATACAATGAATTTTGTAACTGTGCTTGATTATACATATACATCATAGTACTGTTTATAAAATGTGATTTGCATTTTTGGAACTATCTACTTGAAATAAAAGAAATAATCAAAACCCGTTCAGATGATGTTACAGGAAAAAAAAGTGTATCACACATCAGCTTAAAAAAATCTGTTCTTTCAAAACAAAATTATCTTGGATTCATGGCAAGTAGCATAACTGTTGTATCAAAAGAACCTGTGAATTGTCTAATTGAGCAAAACTTGCCTGCAATCATTTTTTTGTAATGGGGAGGGGGGGCTTAAGGTTTTTAATCTAGCTTAAATAGAACAAGCGTGAAGACCTGAGACTGAACTGCAGAATTATAAATTAATTATTATAGTGCTCATTTATTTATTTGATATCACCAATTCAAAAAGCTGAGAAACAGTCTTTCCTATGCCTGAAGCCTCTTTATTATTCTCCCTTTTTCTTCCGGCCAATACCTCACTAGTTTTGTGCCGATCTGATGTCTGATTTCCTGTCTCTCCTCTTCAGATGTTCTCGGTAAGATGTTTTTATCTTCCAGTTCTTTTTTGGATGGCCTGTTGCCGAGTTTGATTGCAAGAGTATCTCTACGATGTATTTTACTCGCTAAAGAGCCTGGATAGAGAATGGAATTTTTTTATTAAATAATGCTCACACTTAAGCATGTCAAGATCCAGCCACAATTTGGATATTCAATACATGAATTTAAAAACCTCTTTCTAGTTTTTTCTCCTCTTTTGGGGGGGAATTTTAGTTCATATCAAAGTCACTTTTCCTTTATAATATGTTAATGTATTAGAATTCATCTGCCATCTAAAATAGAATTAGAACATTAAATCCCCCCCTCCAAGTGCTTATGAAATAATTTGATAGGAATATTCTGGAGGATAACACAATGGAGAGGGTACCTTTGAGTCAATGTTGGCTACTGGAGACTACCTAGATAAGTCCCTGCAGTTTTCTTGACAACATTTCAGAGGTGGTTTGCTATTAGCTGCTTCCTAGGGCTGAGAGAGAGTGACTGGACCAAGGTCACCCGGCTGGTTTTGTGCCTAAGGCAGGACAAGAATTCATAGCATTTCAGTTTTTAGGCTGAGTTTCTGCAATTAGAAGCAGACGTGAACTTCACTAGCTAGATTATAAGGAGAAGGGGGCAGGTTTATCTCTCAGCTCAACAAAAAAATCCTATTTCCTTTAATATATAAATATTAAAGTTTAAAATTAAAGTATAGATTTTCTTTTTATCTTTGCTCTCATATAAATAAACTACTGTAAGAGATTCTTACATTCCTAGCTACATTAATCATAGCAGTCAAAGGTGATGGCTTTACTAGCCCTACGTGGAGATGCCACTCATTAAGTTAAAACCTTTTATATGCACATCTAAAATACGAAAGTGCTGCATTTGTGGGATGATCACAGTGTGAGTGAAACCAATTTTCAGTCTCTGGCGCCAAGTGATTCCATCTTCATGGATGGAGATTCCAAAGGAGGGAAGCAGAATATATACAAAACACATGTCAAATAAAAAGGCTTGCAAAGATGCATTGTGCCCCAAGAAATACATCCAATATATGAACTCTGAGTTCACATATTTCCCAGTTTGCTTATTAAGGACAATAGCAAGAACTTGGATCAAATTCTCCAATAGGGACATTCCAACCATAGAACAAGGATGTAGTAGTATCTGTTGCCAATGGAATGAGAAAACGCTTTCCCAGTACTAATGAATGCAACAAGTCAAATCAGCAACCTCCATTTTAGAAACTTATCTAGGTGTTTTGTTTCAGAAGTAAAACAAATTGTACAGCATGTACTCATTTTTTGTTTAAAATGGCAGACGGTTGCTCATCGAGTCCTCTTACTTTCACTGCTTGCATCTTCATCATCATCTTCATCATCATCTGTATAAAGTATAGGCCCATCTGAATCTGAGTCACTGGTATGATTATTTTTGCTGTTTCCAATTTCGGGATTTTCTTCAGAAGTTTCAGAAAGTTCACCTGTCTGAAGAAGACTAGTTTGCTCAGAGATTTCTTTTTCCTGATCTTCTTTGATAGCAGAACTATTAGAAAAACAAATACACCAATCATACATGAAATATAACCACCCAGGAAAAATACATTAGGTATTTTCACCTCTCGCCTGGACTACTGTAACGCTCTTTACATGGGGCTCCCCATGGGGAGCATCCGGAGGCTCCAGCTGGTCCAGAATGCGGCCGCGCGGGCGGTGCTGGGGGCGACACGTCGCTCCCATGTAACACCGCTGCTGCGCGAGCTGCACTGGCTGCCAGTGGCCTTCCGGGTACGCTTTAAGGTGCTAGTCACCACNGACCTAGGGTGAGTTTTAAATAGGGACAATTTTTAACGATTTTAAAGAGCCACAGCTACCAATATTTGGGTTTTAATTGGTTTTTAGTAGGGGAAATTTTTTGTATGATGTTTTAATACGCTGTGAGCCGCCCTGAGTCCCATGGGGAGAAGGGCGGCATATAAATCCTGTTAAATAAATAAATAAATAAATAAATAATTTATGATTTATAATTTATTTACACATAAATCAAGCTATGTAACTCTTGTGAAACAATCAGTTCTAAAGACCTAAAATTAAGTTCCCCACAGACTCAACAAACCACAGAACACATTTCAATTTTTCCCATACTCTGGCAAATCAATATGATTGTTACTAGTTTTAAGAATCTACTTTAAATCCACTGCTTCAAATTGAAAGCTTAAATTTTTAAGAATCGATCTTTCACTTATGAACAGAAGGAAATTTCTAACTCTCACACCATATAGATGAATTAAGAAAATAAAAATAAGTTCTAAAATCAGTCATATATAAAACTAAGCATATGTCTGACCAGCTTTAAGCTCATATAAAGCAACCTTCCTCCATCTAGTGGCTTTCAGGTGGGCTATTTCATTCTTGATGCTAATCAGTATGGCCTTTGACCATACTTGCTAAGAATCTTGGGAGTTGTAGTATAATCCATCTGGAGCAGTGGTTCTCAACCTTTTTAATGCCGTGACCCCAACCGGTCGTAAGTCGAGGACTAAACCGGTCGTAAGTCGAGGACTACCCAACCGGTCGTAAGTCAAGGACTTTCCCTGCCCGGGAGCGCCGCGCATGCGTGGTTCCGCCCCCTGCGCCGGCTGAGGCGTAGCTGGCAAGCGGCAGAGACGGAGCAGGCCGACCACCAGCTGGCCCAGCCCAAGGGAGGTAAGGCACCTGCCGGAAAAGGGGAAAAAATGGCGGACAAAAAAAATGGCAGACAGCCTTGCTTGGCAACCCCCATGAAATGGTCGATCGACCCCAAATGGGGTCCCGACCCACAGGTTGAGAACCACTGATCTGGAGAATACTTGATTAGAAAAGGCTGATGAAAAACATTCCTGAAATTTTAAAGTAATTTATAATTAAAAGTACTGCCAAGAGCAGATGGGCTACAGAAAAACTAATTCCAAATACTGTCACTTTATAGTGCCATTGCAATTTTCATACTTTTTTTCCACTGTGGCCCCTTAGCAATAGCAATAGTGCTTAGACTTATATACTGCTTCACAGCACTAAGCCAGGCATGTCACATGATGTATCGGGACTTTTCCCCCATTGCCGGCAATGGGGTGGGTGCGGTTTCAACGTGGCGCATCCGGCCCACGGACCAGCAGTTTGACATGCCTGCTCTAAGCAGTTTACAGAGTCAGCATATTACCCCCTACAATCTGGGTCCTCATTTTACCGACCTCAGAAGGAGTCAACTCTGACCCGGTCAGGATGTTCAGTGTTGAAATGTTCAATGACTATATAATTTTATTACCTTTCATAAATTCTTATAGACTACTAAAGGGCTCATGTGAAAGATTCAGCAAGATATAGACATACTATATCTTAAAAAAAAAAGCACAATCTTTTACTGATCTGTATTATCAGCCAACACAATCCCTTTTCTATCTTTTACATCCAACTCACGACTTCTTCATAATCTTTATCCATTCCCTCTTGGGTAAATATTTCTCCTCATATGAAACATCCTTGATGCTAGTCTTCGATGGACAATGATTAAGATATAACGAATTCTGAGTGTTACAATTTGTGTTTTCTAAATACAGACTACATTTGGATTTTACTAAATTGAATTAATTTATTTTGCATGCAGGCAACCAAGTGTATTCACAGAGGTAAAGAAGAGAAGTAGGAGGCAACATACAAACAAATAAAGAAAAGATGCTTTTAATAGACATAATCCTGCCACTGGGACAAGAAACGGTACTTTCTAAACTGGTTCTATAAATGACCAGGGAGGGGCTGAACTCATCTTAATTCTTCCTGTGATGCCTCACAAATGGGCTTGTTATGTATTTCCATTAGCTTTCTTTTCAACCTGCTGCCCTATTTTCATAAATGGAACGCTAAGCTGGATTCAACTTAGTACCTGCCTTTTTAATAGTTGCTGAGGGTGCTATTTCACCACAGATTTTGAGAGCTATTCTAAAGATTTTCAAGTAAGCATCTCCAAAGGAGCTGTAACTTTGAAACTTAAGCTGTGACTTTGAAAACAAATTTGTAGATTTAAATAGAATCAAATCAGTCCATCCAAGCCATTTTAATTTTCTTTTCCTTGTCTGCTTGGAAGTATGAGAATAGAATTCAAAGTATTAATTGAATTATATTTACTCATGTCTTCCTGGGTTTTGATACATGTTCAAATTCAAAATCAAGGTATACAAAAGCCTACCTGAGTTGCTCCACCATTTTCCCAAATGCACGTGTATCCCAGAATTACACAACTAGCTGAAAGCATGTAGTCTTACCATTCTGTGTCTTCTCCCACAATCTCCAGGCTATGGTCTAAGACAGCACTGCTTGAAGAGCTTTCACTGTCTGCTTCAGTTTTTATATGAAGATCATTTAAATGTGTGCCAGGAACAGATGGACCTACTTCAATACTAACTGGCACATGTTCTGTGCCCGAGAAGCCAGTGGGCTCACAGCCTGGAGACAGAATTGGGATGGATGGAGGAAGAGGAGCCGGAACAGCAGGAGGAGGGGGAGGAACAGTCAGAGTGCTGTTCTGGGTTGTGTCTCCAGCTTCAGGGATAATATGGAGAGGCTCTTCTGATTTACAGAGTTCCACTTTGGTCTTTGAGTTCTCTACTGCCGTGCTGGAGGCAGAAGTAATGTCCCCTTCAGATGGTGTACGTGTCGTCACCTGTTTCCCATGCTTCTTCTTATCCCTGGGAGTCCCTGTGCTGGTTTTGCTTGTTGTTGGTTCTTTAGAAGGTTTAGGGCGAGATGATGTGGAAGAAGGAGATGATGATTTGGAAGCATGTCCTTTCTTTAAATTAGAGGAATTAGCTGAAATGAGAGGGCATACCCTTTTATCATAACAGAAGGTTCGCATTAACCTACCTTGTATTGCTGGGAAGGCTTTCATCTTTAATACAGTGGTACCTTGGTACTCATTGTTAATTGGTTCTGGGAGGTGCTATGAGTACCAAAAACGATGAGTGCCACACAAACTTTTCCCTTAAGCAATAAGGTAGTGACTTACAAGGCAGCTGACAATGACTAGTTCTAGCTTATGCACTGAGTACCAAACAAACAATGAGTACTGGAACAAAATTTTCACGTCAAAATGCACGTCAATGAGTTTCAAAATGGTTGAGTAACAAGGTACCACTGTAATGGGAAGCCTGAAGTACTTACAACACTTACGTAGAAATATGTAAATAATTACATATTAGCATATGTAATAGTAATATAGTAGCAGTGCTCTTCCCGTCTACTTACTCTGGAATATGATTTTTTTTCTGGCCATTATCTTCTGGACTAAAGCATAGATGATGAGCTTTAGACACTGCTGGACCATCAGGACCAATCAGGATTCTTAATTAGCATTACAATAGGTTTTAAACTATAAGCATGAAGAAATTAATTGCAATTAATATAGCAAGGGCATGTTCTCCCAACAAACATTTTGGGGGAGGGGTTGTGAAGTTGAGGTGTTCATGTGCATAATTATGACCTACTGAAACTGAAATTCAAGATACATTTTAAAATGTAAAGAGTCTATTGATTTGGGTTGTTGCTTGAATACAGGAAAAGGTCCAAGCATTTTTTTTAATAACCTGCAACAATTCTACGCACAAGCAAAAACATCAGCAAAGAACAACACGGTTGCTTCTGCTGAGCTTGCATTTGGCAGGCAGGCTGGAAAAATAAAGCATGCCAAATCTGTTGTTTGTTCTTGCTAAATAAGTGGAATGTCAATGACTACAGAAGAATTGGCAAAGAGTTTTTTTTTTAAAAAATAAAATAAAATATCGGAACGATAAAGTAATCCATCAGGCAATATGTGCTTATTCAAAGGAATGTGAAAGAGGTATGTACGGTATGTTTCTGCCCTTTAACCTAATACAGTAGAAAGATCTTTATCTGATTTCTTGGTTGATGGACTGGAGATAATTTTTTGATTACAGATTCTAATTTAAACTTATTTTTCAGATGTCAGAGCAGAGCTGTGTGTCTCATAAAGGGACTGATTTTAATGTTTTCAAAACCAAATGGGTTCATCCCATTTGTGGAGCTAGGATGAAAAACAAAGGAACAGCAACCGGCCTCACATGCTCGTCGTTTCTTCTAGTGAGTACAATTGAAAACTTTTAGTTCTGTTGGGACATAACTAACTTAAAATTCTCTGTGGAAACTTTTTCTAGGGTAAGCTTAAAAACAAAATATGTTTTCCATTTTGTAAATGTACTAATCATGAGCTTCTTTGAAATAGAGGGCTTCTTAACACCAAAATAAGAGTTTTCTCAACCGGATTATTCCTCAGGCATTTTTGAAAGTAAGACTAATATTTGTGGTAGAATTAAAAAATACAGAAACAAAGAAAGAGAACCATATCATTTTTTATTATCTTTTAACTCAACATATTTTCAAGTTTATTTATAAAATTCATTGAAGTCTAAATCATATTTGATAGAAATAATTATAGTTTGTCCATATAGACAGTAAATGAGGAGCAAACTGCAAACTAAATAGGTGAAGGATGAGTTGATAACTTGAGTGGAAGGATAAGACAGAGAAAGCCATAGATGTGTAGAGCTCAAGAAGAGCAAAATGAAAATTATTAAAACAATGTACAGATATGGTAGAAGCAAGGATGGTTTGCAAAACAGACTGGAATAATAAATTGTATTGGTATAAGCTAAATTTAGCCTTTCTTTTTTTCTTATTTCATGCCTTTAATTACATCTGCTTACTACATTTTATCCTGTTTCTGTACCTGCTGACAGCCCAGGTTTGAGACCTGAGCATTGCATGTCAGGGTGAGCTCCCTTCCTCGCCCTAACTCCTGCCAATCTAGCAGCTCAAAAGCATGCATATGTGAGTAAATAAATGGGTACTACTTCAGTGGGAAGGTAACAGTGCTCCGTGACGTTATGCTGGCCATGGAAACGACTTTGGACAATGCTAGCTCAAAGGCCCTAGAAACAGAGATGAGCACATCATTCTGTAGTTGGCAACCATTAGCGGAGTAAAGTCCACAGGGACTCCTCTTCTATATAGAACAACATCCCAGAATTGTTTTTCTACTTTGCTACTGTCTCTTCAGCTAGGTCAGTGGTGGTGAACCTATGGCACGGGTGCCAGAGGCGGCACTCGGAGCCCTCTCTGTGGGCACATGCCATTGCCCCAGCCTTGCCTCCCCCCGCGACCCCCTCTCCAGCAGCCCCCTGAAGGAGAGTCGCCCCTGAGCATGGCCCACGCAGAGCAGCGCAGCCAAGGACATGGCAGCCAGGTAGCATAGACAAGACTTTGCCCTCACACCCCATCATGCACAGTTGATGCTGCAGGGTGCGGGCAGAGGCGTGACTGCCATAGTGCTGCTGGGCTGCCTGGGCGATCTGCAGCAGGCCCTGGAGAGGGTGAGTGGCCCTGAGGGCAGGTGGGGGGGATGGGGGGCGGAATGGGGGGTGGAGCAGGGGTGGGGCCAGTTTTTGGGCACTCGGTCTCTAAAAGGTTCGCCATCACTGAGCTAGGTCTTGCTGATTGAGAGGGACAGAAATAAATAGTATTCTTACAAGCATTTTTAGGTTAAAAAACTTAACACAGTAACCACCAAATAAGCTCTTGCATCTGGCTGCTGTACAGGAGGCCATAAGTTATCCACCCACAAATTATGGAGACAGTGGATAAGACAACAGCTTTAATAATAATCATTCACAGCCAACAAATGTTATATGCTTGCTTTTTATGCAGCTGTAGCTTTTGTTCAGTTTTGCACAAATTATCTGGGAAACGTTGCTTCTTATTAGACTTTAATGCTCAGTACTGGATTTTGTGAGCCAAGGTGAGCTGAAAACCATAGACAAGGACAATCAATAAACATACATCCAATTCGGATAACATAAATCCAATGTATTAATAACCATCCACAGAGAGAATATGGACACTGCACCATTTAAAGCAAGCAATAAAGCAGCATGAATTCAAAGCCACGTGATACTTACCAGCTTCTCGAGTCCCACTGCGGCTTGTTGGCTTGCCAGGGGAGGCAGAGGTCTGCTTGGAAGGAGACTTGCCCTTTTTTTTAGCATGTGGCACTTCGTTAGTTTTATGGCTAGTTGTAGCAGCAGTAGCGCTTTTTGGAGGAATGGCTGATTTTTTAGCTTTAGGCTTAGGTTTAGGAGGAGGTGGTGGTAGAGGAGGAGGAAGAGGAGAAACAGACACTGCTGATGTTTCAAGACCTTTAGGAAGAGGTTTATCTACAAATAAGAAAGTGAACACAAGCAACTGACAAATGGACAGCAAGGATAAACCAGACAAAGAAACAGATTTCTTCCTGCTGCTCTACTTTCTTGGGAATGAGGACTGCTTTTGTTTTAAAAAGAACAGCCATCAAACTATACTTCACTCTCTAGTGCAGATTTCAACAGAGAGGAATTCAGAATGGTTCTCAAAACGCAGAATAAAAAAGATTTTTTTTTGTTTACAAAAATAATTCTTCCTTCATTGAAGGAAGATCAAATCTGCTAACAGTTTGGGACAGTAACCACTATTTTAAAAGATGTCTCTTAAGCCAGAGGTTCCCAACCTTTTGGGCACCAGGTTCCATGGAGAGAGGTTTTTCTGCAGACCAGAGAGTGCGTGGTTTTGTATGCTGCCTGCATCCCACAGATGGGGCTTTGCTTGTTTGTGCGGACCGGTTGTGGTATACTGTGGCCCGGTAACGGTCCACAGACCAGGGGTTGGAGACCCCTGTCCTCAGCTATCCTAACTCAAATTTTCCAACATTTGGGTAACCAACTTGCGAAAGACGAGCAGCATTCTCATTAAAAACAATTAGTAGATGAAGGCAAGCATATACAGTGTGGTTAAATACACATGGTAGGAAACATCCATTTTGCCACCATGGCTTTTAGCAAAAAAAAGTTCCAAGGAAAGATCATTTATAATTTAACCTTTTTGTAACTAATTCCTAGCCAAGGAAAGATTAAGACAACTATCTCTATGATAGCTTTTGTTCATATTTACAATTTTGTTTGATTCTGCTATGGATAATTTGTATATAATTTCTAAAAATATGTTAGGAAAAGCTAATCAGATTTATAAATAAAGACCAAGGACAAATTTCTTAATTGAGTGTACCATCAATAATCATTTACCTAAAATAGCCAACAAATGAAAATTTGTCAGCATTTCTTATTCTTGTTCAAGACAATAGCTTCCTTTTCCTTTTGTTGATTGGCTCCTATCTCATCATTATTAAGACTACTACTCAAACATAGAAAGCATTCCTAAGCATTTATTGTATAAGCTTCAGAAGGATTATTTCTAGAGCTGTTTAGATGTAAAAGCTTTCCCTTGAAATCTTTTTCCTTGTACCAGCCTATTAAGCTCTAATCACCCATGCTCTTAACATAATTAGAACCACTAATTGGGGGTGGGAGGTGGAGTGTTCAATGAATCACAGAGCAATGGCACTGAGGGAATTCATGTCATCTGTCTGACATCATCAAGCAAATGATGCAAATTATAACATACCATTATGAAAAATGAAGTAAATTGCAGCAGAAATTTGGAAGATTGCATTGAGGTGAAAGAAAATGAGGAAATATAGTAACTGCATTTGTTCTCTTTTTCAATGCATAATCTTGCATTTTTTTATGTATAAGGAAGCTTTCCTGATAGCAATATAGGATATATGTCCATGAGCAGAATTGTAGCCATGTTTTTATGTCTAGCTTTGTCAGAGAGAAAACGTTAGAAGTGTAGGCCGCGGAATGCTGATTATGAATTGGGCTGCACAAGCTAGCAAAACTTCATCTGCGCATACACAGGATCTAGGTAGTACAGTACACGAAACCATTCGCATTGTCCAAAGGTTTGGGGACCGCTAGTGTATGATTTAAAAAATTAAAATGAGCAAAAAACACAATAATCTGCATTAATATTGGCTAATGTAACAGTAAAAGCCTTCTCTTTCATTTTCATGGGTACAATTCATCTTGTAACAGATCACGAACTGTACAGTGGCTAGCAGCAAGTCCCGTAGGAAATATGTGTGCTTCTATGTACAAGGCTATTTTCACATAGCCTAAGAAAAGCCAGGATAAGACTAGCAGCTCTGTTAAGGATTATTTTATCTCATGTTAATTCCTCAAATTTACAGCAATTGCTTATTAAGATTCTGAGATTAGACTTCTTTCATTTCAGCTGTATCTTCATATTGATCATATTGACATGAGTAGCAGTAACGATAACTCGTAAATGACACATTAGTAAGAATATGCATTAATCAACTAAAGTAAGAATGGAAAAAGGGCAGATTTTTTTTTAAATAAATCAAATCTCTTTATCTCCAACCTCACCCCACTCCCCATCTACAGATTTCAGAAAATAGCAGCGATGGTTATTAGATTTTTTTAAAAGTTATTATTGCTATCCAGTTTTCTTATTTTTATCCCCTTATTTTATCCAAAACAATCTTGTGTGATATTGTATGCCAGTGATGGCGAATCTTTTAGAGACTGAGTGCCCAAACTGCAACCCAAAACCCACTTATGTATCGTCAGGTGCTGGGTGGGCATGGCCCATTGGGTGGGCATGGCTGCGGTGGTAACGGCAGACCGGGTGGGACCAAAAAGTTCAATCAATCAATTCCAAATTTGCGAGATCTTTTTTTTTTCCGCAAGAAGTTGAAATTGATTGATTGATATTTTTTTTTGCACACAGCAGCGGAGGCCTAAAGCAAAAAGGTTTTATAAAACCCAGCTGAAGGCCTAGGAGTGGGCCAATGGTGCGTGTGCCCACAGAGAGGGCTCTGCGTGCCACCTGTGGCACGCATGCCATAGGTTCGCCATCACGGCTATATGCTAACTTGACAGATAGCAACTGTTAACCCCTAAATTTCACAGCTGAGTAAGACTTCAAACTTCATTCATTCATTCATTCAAATTTAATTTGTATACCGCCCTTCTCCCATAGGACTCAGGGCGGTTCACAGCATATTTAAAAAACAGATACTATACACAAATAAAAATACAAAAATACAACAATATAAACCCCAATAAAACCGAATTAAAAACCAAATACTTGGTTTGAACTACATCCCATAGGTCCTTTTTGTGCAATAGCCCAAGTTCTATGTAGTATGTAGGACAATCAAAATCTGCTCTTGTTCTAAGTCTTAGAATCTAAGACCTAGCACTTTTCCTCCCATTCCAATAGCGAACTCAAGTTTTTAGTTTATGTGTTCCTAAAAATGTCTGCCTCTGAACAGAAATTAACTTTCCTTATTGCTATCTCTTCTCCACTCAGTTACATTACCCCTTGTAGTTATAAACAGGTTTGTTTTCATGTTTTCATCATATACACTGGGGTGATTGTATTTTTAAATGGACATATACATTCTGATATATTGCATTTAAAATACCTTTTTTATCCTCATTTTTCTCCTCAGAAACAGCTGCCTTTGCTGATAATGAACTGTTGTCTTCTATAGTTTTTACATTTTCTTCCGGTATGGCTTCTTCTGTAATTACTATCGTGTGACCATTAGAGATTTCATAATTCACTGTGGCATCCACATCTGAAATGAAAACAAGAATATTGGCTAGTTCTGAAGGCATTACATTCATTATATGCAATTAAGTCCTCGTTATTTTCATAATGGTGCTGATATCTGATTAGAGCCAGTTTTGCTATGCATTTCTAAGTAACTTCTTTTTGCATACTTAGGGTGTGTTGTAGTACTAGAATAGACGACTCATCTCTACACTGGGGAGAATTTTAAGAAAGCTTTCACAAAGTATCCTTCCTCCTCCCTCTGTCCCTCCCTGATATTTTTACTCCAAAATAGCTCTGGGTAATGAGTGACCATTCACAAACGTCTCCCATGATCAGTTTGGTCAAGGAAATTTCATAGAAAGACTAAATCATAGAGATAGAAAAATTAAAAATCTGATCGAGAGCCTGAATATAAGCCAGAAGTGGGAGTTCAGGGGCAGAAACCCAATCTATTCCTTTATAACCCCTAAACCAGTGTTTCTCAACCTTGACAATTTTAAGGTATTTGGACTTCAACTCCCAGAATTCCACAGCCAGCAATGCTGGCTGTGGAATTCTGGGAGTTGAAGTCCACATGCCTTAAAATTGTCAAGGTTGAGAAACACTGCCCTAAACAGTTCCCCCTTTTACAAAATCACCCTACCAATTCTCTCACTCCATTTTCTACCACCCAAAATTCACTCACCCAAACCACTCACTCATCTTTCTTTCCTCGGTCCCATATGAACTCCCACTGTCTTCCCATGTTAGGTTGTTTTCTGTTGCTCCCCAGCGTCCCTAAGCTTATCATGCAGCAGCTTTCTTTCTCTCTTTCTCCCTTCATTTATTTTTCAGAGACCTTTGAGTATCTACTTCACAAAACAATCTGAGCACTTCTGGGTAGAAAAGAAAAGAGGTGGCCGAAGCTTCTGGCTTTAAACTCACTGTTTTTCAGTATTATTTTTCAACCTAAACCTACAATCTCATTGTCAATCTCAACTACAAACTCTGCTAATGAACTATACATTTGAAAGCAATGGGAATAACATTTGTCATCATTCAGATTAAATATAAATTCTAATAATCTACATTAATTGCAATCACCTGGCTCATTTATTTCCTTTAGGACACCCCTTCTTATTAGCTCCTCTCTGCTCTGCCTTGTTGATATCTTTCTTTCCAGCACTTAAAAAAAAATAAAGAAGATATTATTCAGTAAAAAAGCAAACTAAGACAATCAAAAAAATTAAAACAAAGGTAATTTTGGCTTCCATATTGCAGAATGTATTACATTTGTTATTTAGTAGTATTAGAATGAGGACAAGGACCTAATTGCCAAACAAGCATTTGAAGGGTCAAAAGGAAGGAGAATAAAAAATGTGACAGGAAGCAGTTGATGCATTGCTGCAAAAGAGAAAACTGAGGAGTTTAAATAGAAAAAAATCAATGTATAGAGGAGTACATGAAAAGTGAGGAAGCAAGAGATAGTATACAGAGATAAGAAAATATGAAGAGGTAAACAGGATTAGTGTGAATTGTGTTCCTCTTTCCTCTTTATATCTTCTTCCATTCATTTGTTTTGCTTTACTCCTTTCGGGCATTTTGCATAATGTTGGTACTCCAAAAGTGAATAATGTAAATGGGCACACATGTATGTAATTACCTAATAAGGTAGATAGTGCCATGGAAAAGTGGTAAGCAAATTTATATAACTAGATTTACACATTCTCTGTTCAAGTAACAGAAGCTGCATTAATTATGTTACAAGGACACATTCTTTTTATTTGTGCTGAATACAGATATTTCTGTCTTAAAATAGAAGATAAAATAAGATTTTAAAAAAAACCTGAAACATGCATACTAAGAAAGTTATATCACTTACAGCCTCATGGTTCAGGAAATTCTCTTGTACAGATTCCGTTAGCTAGTCAATTCTATATCACTAGTATATGTCATAACAAATAGACAACATGATGTTGGCTCAGAGTCATGATTCATAGCCTCAAGATTTAATTTTGCCTCTGTTTATTACATAAGACTAACATCTGAAGTAAATTTAAACTTTTGATAGTATTATTGATTTCCCAGACACTATTTATGCATAGCCTACCCTTCTAAATTTATCCTTCTAAATTTCCCTCTCCGAGGGAGATGGACAGTTAAGAAGTATGAAGTATAAACAAACAAACAAATAAACAAATATATAAATTCTAAGCCAGTCATGGAAGGCTTCTCTTTCTAAAATCCTATACTGTATGCTGTCCACTTCTATACTTCAAAAAGCTTTGCAATCATTAATTCTCCTTTCTGTGGTTTGCTTTAGATTAGAAAGAGGCAAATAGTCACCACTAAATTTTGAGATGTTCACATGTTATCCAATCATATGTTTTTGTACATGCCTTATGTAGCAAACATTATTTAGGCAAAACGGGCCAATTTTTTTTTTAAAATCCAGAGCAGTGAGATAAAATTCAGAAGAAGCTCGTGAAGATGCTTCTCTGATTCAGTGGAATATAAGAAAGGGAAGGAACTACAGAACAATCAGACTTGCAAAATTCTGTTATTGTAGCCAATCTCAATAAAGCTAACTTCCCTGAGTTGATTTCCTGATCTGTTCTACCTAGCAGGATTGACATGCTATAATTATAACTCCAAGAGAATCTCTCCAAACTCATCCAAGGTTTGGTGATATGTATGGCATATTTTAATTTTGCTTTATGAGAATATATACGATGTAGCACGATATATCAGGAACCCGTTCACCACGTATGATTCTGTCCAATTAATCTAAACATTAGGGAAGGTGTGTGTGGTATAATAATTGAAATTGATATTAAAACAACAATCCAAAAACACAGGAATATGGGAAATATTACAAGGGGTGGCTGACTTGTGCTATGCATAGCTTAATTATAGCTTGTCACAGGCACCCCTTGTAACTTTTGCATGCTGCTAGTATATATTTATCCTTTTTCATTTGCTTGTTGTTTCTATAATAGTTTTAGTATAGTTTATAAATACAAGGATAAAATACTAATACAAACCAGGAAAAGCATAAAAAGTAAAGAACAGGAGAAGTACAAAGAGGTAGAAAAAGGAAAATAAAAAATTGAGAAAAAAGATGGATAAAAGTGATTCTTCCCTCCCTCCAGGTAGGAATAAACAGGTCCAGTAACTTAACCCCATCTCTAATATTTCAATTTTTTTTTTTAAAAAAAAACTCTTCTTCCCATATCTCCTCCCTTATCAATAATCAAATTATTTAAAAAAAATCATTGTGTCATAAACAGCAAAAGAGGTTATAGGAGAAGAATAGATTTTACTGGATAAAACAGATACTGATTTGAATGTGGATTTGAAAATGGATTGTAGATGCCAGAATACAAGAATGATATGGGAAAGGATGCCACAAGGGATTTATTTACATTTGAAATCGGCTGATGGCTTAATAACTAAAAAGGATGTGCAAATAATAAATGAGAAGAATGCTTTGGAAAGTCTTCTAATGCAGATACAAAGGGGAAGTGTTAAACTACCAAGGTTGTTTCTGAGAGATGACAAAGAGAAAATGACAAGAAATCAACTTGTGGGACATTATTTTATGAGATTAAAACTTAAGATTTTTAAAAATAAATGGAAGAAATCTAAAGTAAATTTATTTGCTCAGTGTTAGACTACAGATAATCCTCGACTTACAGCTACAATTGAACCAAACATTTTGGTTGCTAAGTGACACGTTTGTTACGTGAGTTTTGCCCCATTTTACAATTTTTCTTGCCACAGTTGTTAAGTAAATCACCACGGTTGCTAAGTTAATAACACGGTTGTTAAGTGAATCTGGCTTCTGCATTGATTTTGCTTGTCAGAAGGTTGCAAAAGATGGTCACATGACTCTGAGACACTGCAAGGATCATAAATATGAGCCAGTTGCCAAGCGTCAGGATTTTAGTCATGTACCCATGGGGATGCTGCAATGGTCATAAGTCACCTTTTTCAGTGTCATTTTAACTTTGAACAGTCACTAAATGAACTGCTGTAAGTCAAGAACTATCTGTATATGCGTAGTGGTTTCTGTTAGCAAAATGGAATTTCTTTTTGACCAGGACTAAATGACAAGGCTTTACAAATCTGTTTATAAATGGGGAAAGATTTCTTTGGCTTTATTTCTTAGACAAAGTGATAAGTTGAAATACAAAATGGATTTATTGGATTAAGGATAAAATATAGTACATGGCTCTTTCTTGCAGATTAATTAATTAATTAATTAATCTGCAAGAAAGAGTCATGTACTATATTTTATTTATAATTATATTTATAATTATATTAATTATGATTAATTAATTAATCAGACTTTTAAGCTAATTAAGATGGAATGATGAATTTTTATAATTTCATTATTGATAAGAGATGAGACATGGGAAAAGAATTATTTTTCCTTATTAAAATAAACACATTACTGAATGTGTTTATTCTTGTCTGGGAGGGTCACCTTTATACATACATACATACATACATACATACATACATACATACATGCATGCATGCATGCATGCATGCATACATACATATAATTTTTTAATTTTTACTTTCTACTTTTCATTTTTCTTACTTTTTATATTTTTCTTAGTTTTTAAAAATCTTTTATCTTTATATTTATAAACTTTAATAACATTATTAAAATAATTTGGCTGATAAAGATAGGAATAAAACTTAAGAAATTACGCAACATGGAAAAAGTGGCTTTTAAATATTGTTTGGGCAGAGAGAAAGAGTATGCATATAATTTAGATTAGTATTTTGAAAACACTAAGGAGCAAAAGTAATCTGAACTCAACTGTTTTAGAATCCAGAATTGTATATACAGAACAGAATATGTACAGTATATATGTACCGCTTTCTTAACAGTAAAAAGGTATTAAATGTGCAGCGTTTCTTGATCTCAAAAGGTAAGCAACAGGATTATACTCCAAACATCGCTAATGAACTACGTTCATCTCCTCTTTCTCAGTATACCATAGAAAAGTCATTCTTCCACTGAAAGTGTTTATGCACAGAACATAAACATTTCTCTTAATACATTTCATACATCTTCACTTAAATTGTTGAGATATATATAAAAACAAGCTACAGGAACAATTTTCTTTAAAAAAATGCCAATTTACTTATGTGCTATTAAACCTATATAAATAAAAATAAAATCAAAAGCGATTACGAGACAGTTCAATATAAATGCACATTTGGAATATATTATTCTGTTTTATTTTAATTTTGTAAAATAATCAGGTTCTAAAAGACTTAGCATCTGAGCTTTAATCTGTGAAGTATAATTTCCACACAAGTATTTGATCTTTAAAGATTTTACAGCTAATTAATTGCTATAAAGAGAAAGCTGAAGTGTGGGTGGCATTCAATGGATTAAAACACAGTATCAAAGCAATAAATCAGGAGTCAGGAGTTCATTGTAACAAGCAAATGTTTTTTAAAAAGTATCGTGGCACAAGTACAAAGTTCATCCCTGGGAGGCAAATATGCAGGAAGGAGTACGGAAATACTGAAAGATAGAAATGCAAAAAAAAAAAAAAAAGTTAACATTAGGCAAATTTTGAAGAACTGGCAAAAGTCATCATGAGAAGTAAGGAACAACACTGAACATTGCTCAAATCTAAAAGATAATACGGTAGAACTAATTGCATGGTTCTTTCCAACTCTAGCAATTATAATCTTTTCAGATTTCATAAAGTATTTGTCAATATCAACAATCATACCTGCTGAGGTTTCTATAAATTTTTCACTTGTTTTCTTCTTTCGCCACTTCCACGGTTTGAAGATTTTGCCAATTGTTGAAAGTTTGCCCTTCCTCTTAAAAGGAGGAGTTTGAGATCCCGGATTCGTCCCATCTGAGTTGGCAACTGATGCCTTGTCTATCCCATCAACTGTATAAACAACAACAAATATACAATACAGAATGTTATTGAAGGCTGAAGTTAATCCATGTTTTAATTTTAAGACTCAACCATTAATTTAAAAGGGAAAAGTAAAACACTCCATACAGGCTAAATTCATGTATTGTCTTATACTATGGGTTGATTAATAAGGGTCTGCTAAATAGATCACAATTGGCTGATTCCACACATGACACACAAAACCATAAACCGAATAATGCCACCTAATGGCTTAGTTTGATACAAGAACCTCGTAGGCAGTTTGTGGTAGTGCTAATCGAAGGCCCCTTAAAATTAATTTTAAATGTAGTAGATCATAAGGAATACCTAATATTAAAACTTAATAAGATATCACAGTGATGGCGAACCTTTTAGAGACCGAGTGCCCAAACTGCAACCCAAAACCCACTTATGCATCGTTGGGTGCCGGGTGGGTGTGGCCCATTGGGTGGGTGTGGCCTATTAGGTGGGCGTGGCTGCGGTGGTAACGGCAGATTGGGTGGGACTAAAAAGTTCAATCAATCAATTCCAACTTTGCAAGATCTTTTTTTTCCCACAAGAAGTTGAAATTGACTGATTGATTGAACCTTTTTTTTTGTACACGGCGGTGGAGGTCTAAAGCAAAAAGGTTTTATAAAACCCAGCTGAAGGCCTAGGACTGGGGCAACGGCATGCGTGCCCACAGAGAGGGCTCTGAGTGCCGCCTCTGGCACCCGTGCCATAGGTTCACCACCACTGAGATATCACATATACAAACATGCACAGGTAGTCCTCATCTTACAACTACAATTGAGCCCCAAACTTCCACCTGCTAAACAAGGCAGTGGTTAAGTGAGGTTTGCCTCAGTTTACCTTTTTTGCCACAGTTAAGCGAATCACTGAAGTTGTTAAGTGAATCATGTGGTCATTAAGTGAATTTGACTTCTCCCATTGGCAAACGGCTGGGAAGGTTACGAATGGGCATCACATGATCACAGGATAGCGCAACTGTCCTAAATACATGCTAGCTACCAAGTGCCCATTTTTTGACCATGAGGATGCTGCAACAGTCGTTGAGTAGGGCAACCATTTTTTTCAGTGCTGTTCTAACTTCAAATGATCACTAAATGAATGATTGTAAGTCTAGGACACGAGTATCAAACTTGCCATGTCATGTGACGTGTTGCGATGTATTGCGACTTTTTTTGCATTGCCAGAGCTAGGATGGGCGCAGCCTCCATTTGATGCAACCGGCCCGCAGGTCGGCAGTTTGACACCCCTGGTCTAGGACTACCTGTAATGAGTTTTGGCTCACCACCAGAAAATATAACAGCAAATGCAGAAGCAGCATGTTGAAATGCCAGTCTTATAGATATATAACTACAAAGTTTAAAGCTTTATTAACAGGCCAATGTGCTTAAATTTCAAGTCAACACTGGTATTCTTCAATCTCCATATAATGACTTCAGCATTAATATTTATCTTACTGTTTAAAACAAACATATTCCCAAACTGAAAAATATTTTCCGGTGAGCTTACCACATCAGTATTCCATTCTGAAAAATTGCTAATTTAGCTAATATTTAAGAATTAAAGATATGGAAAGGTTTGTGTAACTATGCCGAGTCTCCTGCTCAATGCTAAAATCTTTAAGTTCAAAGTAGCTTACAGCTGAAACAGCTTGCCTTCAAAATATATGGGTGCTCTATCACTGGAGGCTTTTAAGAGACTGGACAGCCATTTGTCTGAAATGGTATAGAGTCTCCTGCTTGAGCAGGGGTCTGGACTAGAAGACCTCCAAGGTCCCTTCCAATGTTCAATTCATATTGATTATCTACATCATAGTTGAAGGACTGCTTTAATTTCTATTCATGGTAATTGGTATACATGGATTTGTGGTTCTTTGTGTTCAAGGTTGTGTAGATTAAGGTAACTGTTTTTTGTACAAAATGTTTGCATTTAAAAAAAAATCTCACAAAAATTCATACTTGTTTTTGTAAGCTTATTTTCCCAAATGCATATATTTACACAGCTTTCCCTAATACCTATGTATGTGTATTTTCTAAATATATACACTGATTTGTTTTAACTTTTTTTTTTTAAATTTATTTTTTATTTTTCCAAACTCTCCCCCATACATATACTGTGATATTTATTGATTTGTTTTAACTTTTGAAGTCAGAAAGATTAGAACAGTTCCATATTTATTACCGGTAGTCCTTGACTTACAACCACAACTGAGCCAAAACTTTCTGTTGCTAAGCGAGACATTTTCCAACCTTTTTTGCCACAATTGTTAAGTGAATCACCACAGTTGTTAAGTTAGCAACATGGTTGTTAAGTGAATCTGGCTTCCCCATTGACTTTGCTTGTCAGAAAGTCACAAAAGGGGATCACATGACCCTGGGACACTGCAGCTGTCATAAATATGAGTCACTTTGCAAGTGTCTGAATTTTTATCATGTGACCATAAGGAAGCTGCAACAGTTGTAAGTGTGAAAAATGGTCATAAGTCACTTTTTTCTGTGCTGTTGTAACTTTGAATGGTCACTAAATGAATTGTTGTAAGTCGAGGACTATCTGCACTGGGTTTTGTTCTAAACATGGCAAATGCTTTTACAATTATATTAATGTGAGTTTATTTATGTTTTAGACCAGGGGTCCCCAACCCCCGGGCCACAGACCGATACCAATCCATAGCCTGTTAGGAACTGGGCTGCACAGCTGGAAGTGAGTGGTGGGCAAGCAAGTGAAGCTTCATCTGTATTTGCGGTCATTCCCCAGTGCTAGCATCACCACTCAGCTCTACCTCACATCATCAGACATTAGATTCTCATAGGAACGTGAACCCTACTGTAAACTGTGCATGTGAGGGAGATAGGTTGCTCACTCCCCCTCCCCCCTCCCCCCAGTCCATGGAAAATTGTCTTCCACGAAATCGGTCCCTGATGCCAAAATGGTTGGAGACCACTGTGTTAGACTTCATCACTTTAACTCCCTCCACTCCTTTTAGTATGATGTTCTTTTTTCTTTATAATCTTCCAAAAATGATTCAATCCCTTGCTTAAAAAAATATTGCATTATTATAAAGGATGTTTTATATATAAAAGCAATTAATCGTGTGAGTATTTTTATTGTATTTTTTCAACCTACTTATAGATTTCCTTAATTTCATCATATTTCTTCAGCTATTAGAGAAACACCAATTTTTTACTTTCCCACCTATATTTTGTTGGTTATGCTTTGATTTCATATGCAAGTTCATTAGGAAATAGAAAATTCAGTGTATCCTGTTTAAAAGACTGGTTCAGATGTCATCCTCCTCCTAAATCAGCCCATTGCAGGATGAAGGCTATGAACCATAATGTACCAGGCAGGTATGGATGTTTTGGGTGTTGTTTTCTTTTAAACTTCCCAGATTCAGTTGCAGAACCTCACTGAGAGACTTTTAAGTCTCTCAGACTTACCTACCTTATAAGATTGCTGTGCAAAAATGGAGAGCTGCAGTGCAATATATGCTACCCTGAACTCCTGGCTGAAAGACAGGATATATACCTAATAAATTTCTTCATTTGTTTATTTTCCTACTTAGAAGTGGCACACACAAAGATACACACACACACACACACACACACACACACACACACACACACACCACACCACAATTAATCTCTAGTTAATAAAACTGTCAAAGAGGGGGGAAAAGCTATATTCTAAGTATAGATCAGCACAAGCTTCCATGCAGTTTTCAACATGTCGCTATACAACTGTTAACTTCAGGAAGTTCTTTCATGAGCTAACTGTTCTGACAGCATTTTAATTAAAGGAAAGGGGAAAAAGCTTGGGTATTAATGTGGGTGGTTGAACAGTAATTTCCAGATGGGGCTGCCAATGCTAGAAAATGTTAATTAAGCCTCCTGCTAGAAAAGAGATTAAAAGTGTAGGTAGTCGGACTTGCAAACGATTCCTGACTTTTGCCTTAATATTGAGAATGTGGGTAGAGAAATGTAATCATGGAAGTAAGCTACCATATATTACTACTTTTGACCTTGAAATATGGGAGGTTGCTCAAGATTTTTCCAGAGTTCAATAATGTTTTCACCATATTATCTTAATCAGTTTTTTAATTTTTAGGTGTACTTATTCTACCCATAATGATTAATTTCTGAGTTATCCTGTGGAAGGTTTCTGTGATTTATTTCTATACATGGCCATCCCTATCCACACAAACTTTGAAATGAAATCTGGTAAATATGTTTGTTTGCCTAGACAAAATTTCTGTATGCAGTATTTCCTGACTGTTTTACGGATGTAATTACATCAATAATGTCACATAGGAAATGCTGTTTGGAATGCAGCTTCATCTTGATTCTCAGAAAGCAGCAAGGTTGTCAGTTAAAGGAAGAAGACTTGGACATTTTAAACTAAAATGCATTTTATTTAAAATGTATTTGCCTTTCTTGCATGGATGAGGAGAGCACATCTTTCTCCTTCTGTCCTGACCACTTTTTACAGAGGCACGATTGAGAGCATTTTAACAAACTGCATCACTGTTTGGTTTGGTGGTAGCAGTGCCTCAGATAGAAGGTCCATACAGAGAGTGGTAAGGATAGCTGAGAAGATTATAGGAAGCTCGCTTCCCATTATTTAGAATACTGCTTATAAACACTATGTGCTTAGAGCCTGAAGCATTGTTTGAGACCCCATACACCCACTTCACGGTCTGTTTCTGTTGCTCCCCTCTGGGAGGAGGTTTTGAAGTATTTATAGCAGAACTACTAGATTCTATAACAGCTTTGTTCCTTATGCCATCTTATAAATTTGCAGGATTCTTTTTTCTTGCCATGTATATGTATACATCTGAACTAGACTACGATGTTTCTCTGTGTCATATTTGTCTGTATGTGGGTATATGCATAATGGTATTTTTTTTTTGAGAGCTGAATGCAATGAAATTTCATTTTATTGTATGCTGATTAGTGTAAATTTAAAGTGACAATAAAAAATTTATTCTATTCCATTCTATTCTAAAACAATGTGTAACAGCATAACAACAA